GCCTTATGTTTTCTGAATAGAAGTCACCTTCCTGCTCGGTATCTATTTGTTCTTGATACTCTTTGTATTCGCTCACATATTCCGCAGGTAAAATTGATATTACCCCGATTTGATGTTCGTCCCAAGTACCATCATCCTTGTCATCGAAGAATTCTCTTGTATAATGACTCTCTATTGGTGCAACATTTCCTTCAAAGTTTCTGTAATTATTCCAATAGGGGATCCTTCCTCCTCTTCTCCAGGGCCTTCCTCGGAATCTTCTTTGGAGTGTTGGGAATCTAGTGGTCGATCCATCATCATACGAGAGTCTTTCGAAAACATCGTTACTTTGAAGTCTACCTCTTCCTCCTCGAGAAGGATACATCTCTCTTCTAATCCACTGCCTCCGATTTTCACTAACACCAGAGCCAACGGATTTCTGCTGACTTTCTTCGATAGTTGGTCGGACTGTTTGCTCTATTTTGTCATTTTTTCTTTTATTTTGGTTCTCGATCTTCTTCATTTGTTCTGTTCTGAAAGCTTTGGCAGCCGATTTATCGAACACTGCACTGCATCGTGGGCATAATGACACATCTTCGTCTTTTTCCTTTTTCCTATTCAAAAATTCAATGAGAATCTCCTGATCGAGGGTATATTTCCTTTTCGAACTCTCTCTCGAATTCACTCAGGTCAAATTCCATATCTTCTTCGGACACGTCCATTCTAACGTGTTTAGGATCGATGTCTTCAGTGACATCTACCATGCCTATAAAGGCCGAATTTGTTAATCGGACATCATCAGTAATGCCTGTTTGGGATTCGAGGTATCCAACTTGGGCCTCGAATGGACTCGTGTCAACTTTCATTGTCATTTCTTCGAACCTCAACCTTCCTTGGTCGATCGCATCTTAGATGGTGTTCCTGAAATGTATACAATTGTTAGTCCAATGTCCATAAACATTATGAAATTTGCAATATTTTTGACCATTCCTTTGTTCTGCAAATGGCAGTTTATGATCATCACTCAACTTAATCTGTTTGTCTTTCAATAAAATATCAAAGATTTTGTCTGCTTTTGTTACATCAAAAGTATATGTTCGATTTGCCATTTTATCTTTTACTTCATTCTTTTGTAACAATTTACAGGTATATGGAACCCCCACTTTGAGTTCTGCTAAGTTTACTTTCTCATCGACAGTTTCTTCAATATCATTTTCTTTCATATTATCTGTCTCATATACATCATTTATGTATGCTATTCTTTCCTTTTTTAGAGGTTTCTCATATTTCTTATACCTTTGTTTCTCATACTCGATTTGTTCCACTCTTCTCACTTTATCGACTAATTGAGCCATGTCATTTAATGGTAAATTGACTAGTTTTTTCCTAATCGAGAATTCTAAACCTGCGAAGTCATTCGACTAATTCATATTCGGGAATTTGAGTGAAACATCTCGATTTCATTTGTCTAAATCGATTCAAATAATCATCTATGCTTTCATGATTCTATCTTTTTATATTCATCAAGTCGATGAGACTCACTTGAGTTTCTCCTCTAAAGAATTGTTCATGAAAATTTCTTTCCAATTGCAGCCAATTATATATCGAATTAGGTGGCAATGACGTGAACCAAGTAAAAGCATTCTTAGTCAAAGAACTCGGGAAATATTTCATTTTCAATTCCTCACTCATCGCTAGGTCTCCACATTCGATCGATATCGAGCTACATGCTCGATAGTCGATTCACCAACTTCTCCAAGCAAATTTGGTGAATTTGGGTACTTTATATCCTCACGGCAATTCTGTCTCGAGAATCGCATTCGGAAAGGGGGACACAAAATATGTCTGATTAGGTGGTCTAAATTTCATCCCTTGTAAATTCACCCTTTGTCCCAACATATTATTCTGATTGTGTATATTTTGAAATCCTTCGTTCAAATTCCCATAAATATCATTCCTCACATGTTGATACTCCTGTCCCATACGCTGCCGTTGATCATTGTTTCTATTTCTTCTCAATAGATATGGGGGATTAATATTAGTATTCCGGTTGGCATGATTTTCTACCCTTGTTCGTCGGGGCACATCCAATGCATCCCCGATTCGTGACATTTGGTCTGCTAATATCTCAAAACTAGCAGTAGTGTTTTGCACTAATGGACTTAAAACTGTAGTCAATTGTTATGATAACATGTTCACCATTTCAAAATTACTCTCATCCATTTGTTGTCTAAGTACCCCTAATGAATTACTAGATATTCCGGTACCCATATTTTTGATAGCATCAAAATTAGATCGATGATAGTCTCTATCGAATACATGTCTCCCATGATCTAAGTATCCCCTCTGATCTAGATTTGGAGGTATCTGTTGTGTGCCTACATTCTCGTCCATTCCACGAATTCGGGGAATTACTAAATTTTGCGACGTCCCTAAATTCGGAGGGATTCCAAAATTTTGTGGCATACCTAGTGTTTGGGACATTCCTAAGTTATATCTCGAATTCCTATGCGTTGAAGAAGTTCCAGCTCCACTCACATTATTAAGTGAAAACCCTGGCGGTCTTACACTCATACGTGGCCCTACATATGTGGTTGTGGGATTTCCTATAGTTTGCATATTATTTGGTATCACCGTACTAGATCCTACTTGGGTGTTTGCTAATGTACTCGAATTTTGTTCACTACTCACAGGTATCGACATGCTCACAGTTGTCGATACTACGTGTATGTTCTCATTATGACTTTGCCCCCAGTATTTGGTGGGTGTGACCCATTTAATCCCTCACTCGTTACCTTGGTTATTTGATGAACTCGACTCATGACTCTCCCACTCCTTAATCTCATACAATTTCGAACTAACCAATTTTGTGTTTCTCAACACAAGACTCCCCTACTCGGCGCGCCAATTTGTTTCGGTGGAATTTCGATCGATTTCGATTCTAAGGGTGTTTTGGTCCTAATCAAAATTCTACCACGTAAGTTCTTTTTACTTAGGCTAGCAGTCTGATTTTCAATCGAAAACGTGTATGAGAATCGAAAACTACAGGATATCGAAAATGCTGTTTTTGGTGTTTTGTATTTAAAGTATCGAAAGCATTAAGACTATCGAATCGAAAAGCAGAATATTAAATTGCGAGGAAATGTAAATTGCGAAAACCCCAAACTTGCATTAATTGTAAATAGCAAGAAATCGAAAACAACGCAAATATAAATGACAAGAAATCGAGATTGCAAGAAAAGTAAATGACAGGAAATCTAAATGCAGAAACTCAAATTTTCATTGAATTGAAATGACAAGGAATCGAAAATACAGAAAAAACTGCTAAATGTAAATTGCATCAAAGTAAATTACCAAGGAAAATACAGAAAGCGATAAAGGTACTCCGTGAGCATGGAAATCCAGCTTGCCAGGAGCTTCATGGTGTTCGTCGTTTCTCCGGTAGACTTTCTCACTACTGATCCTGTTCTCTGCCAATTTCTGCTCCCCTCTTTTTTTTTCCTCCTTTGCTCTATTTATAGGGTATCCTTCAAGCCTTCCAAGAGCAATTAACACGACTGCTACCACGCTCTACGTGCGTATGGCCGTTTATCTTCTATAGTTTCCCACGTTCTTCACTATCTCCGACTTTTTTCCATGATTTCAAAACTGCTCTTTATACGTGCATTCGACTTACTTCCTTTCACGATTTGACCAAAGTCTCGATGTCCACATTGGCTTTCCTTACTCTCGATTCTGTATTTTTCGAGAACTTCGAATTGCTTACGATTCCTTTTTAACCCTGGTCTTACATGACTTAGTTTTTATTCGACAACGATCATTTGATTATTATTCGTTCGATTCTCGATTGTGCTTCTCGATTTGCCACTAACACTATGACAAATAACCCTAAAAAAAGAAGAAGGAGAAATAACATTTGTTGAAAAGTTTATGTAATAACTTTTTCGATTAAGTTTTTTAAATATAAAATTAATTTATCAAAATATAGGTACCACCTAACTCCTGCTTCATGAATACCACGGTTAACATAATCTAAATGTGAGTTTAGACACTAACCAAAATTTGAAGACTTGAATACTAAAAATGGTTAACTTGAAAGCAATACAATACCTACTATTAATGATACTTAGTTAGTAATAATACACTAATTTATTTTATTAATAATTTAGTTTCAAGCTACTAATATAAAAATCTTTTAAATTGGTTTAATTTCGATTAATCAATGATACCAGATTCTCAATATTAGTAATATAGACACAGCAAAGCAAATAATAGGATCGGGAACATTAATACTATTTATTAGGATAATATTTTTTTTATTAGAGAGACTTTCTTCACACATAAAATAAATAATAATTAAAGAGAAACAACTCTTTTTCAATCAATTCAAAATAATCTGTAATATTAATATCAAATATTCAGACTTTTTAAAAGAAATAAAAATTATATCTTAACATTTCCAACGATGCTATAACCAGAAGTATTATTTCTCAACACATTTGGCTAGATTTAAATATTTCTTAAACTTTAAAATTAAAAGATAAAATAGAAATGAAAGTTAAATGTGTTATTATCAAATTTAAAAAAAAAACACATTTTCTTAAAACATAACTAAATTTCAAAACTTATTAACAAACGAAAAAAAGAAAAGCATGCATTAATAATAACAGACAAAAAAAATGCTGAGGAGCGTGAACATTAATTGGTGAATATTTAAAACACAATAATAGTATTTTTAAAGAGCGATTTTAGAATTTAAAAAAAAAAAAAAGTGGAGTACGATGAAAAGCAAAATCAGAAAAAGCGATTAAATATCGCATTAAGGAGCGAGTGAGTGACCTCAAAAGAATTACGGAAGAGAAGAGAAAAGCGAGAAACAGAACGGGGGGAGAAGGCGAAGCATGAAAATCTGGTCCTCCCAGACACCACCACCACCACAACCGCCGTCGCGTGCTACTCACCAACCATCACTTCAACAATTGCTCCCACGACGTCGTTTCCCCGCTCCACCACTTGAATGAATGGGAAATTGCGGAACCAGAGAGGAATCTGCCGTAGTTTCCAACGCCCAAGGTTCCAGATCTAGGGCTCGCTATTTTACTATTATTTAGTTACATCATTTACTGATCGGCATTCTCTTCAATTCAATTTCACTGTGTTAACTCGGAAATTCGCTCACTCACTCACTCACATTGTTTGTGTTTTGGTTGCTTCAGTTCAGCAGCTTCACCATGCGACGTCGTTGGGCGCGAGTGCAAGGAGCCAGAATGCCGGTAGCGAGAAGAAGCAAGGTCATGGTCACGGTCACAGGCACAATCTGAGCGAGTGCGCTTCGGATCTGAGCGAAGCGTGTTCGACACCGCGCGGTAACAATAGCAACAACACGCACGTGATATCCTTCACGCTCTACGAGTTGGAGACCATAACAAAGAGCTTTCGCGGAGACTACATCCTCGGCGAGGGAGGGTTCGGCACCGTTTACAAAGGTTACATTGATGAGAACGTCAGAGTGGGACTCAAATCGCTTCCTGTAGCGGTTAAGGTTCTGAACAAGGAAGGATTACAAGGACATCGAGAGTGGCTTGTGCGTTTTGCGTCTTCTTCTTTTTTACTTAATTAATTTGTTCATTTAATTTTGCGATTTATGTGTGTTTTGGTGGTGCAGACGGAGGTGAATTTTCTTGGGCAGCTAAGGCATCCTAATCTAGTGAAGTTGATTGGGTACTGCTGTGAAGATGACCATAGGCTCCTTGTGTACGAGTTCATGTTCCGAGGGAGTTTGGAAAATCACTTATTCCGAAGTACGGCCAGTTTTACGCTCTTGAACTGAACATTTGGTTGTTTTCGTTCTTTCTTAGTTTAGGAATGGGTTTGGATCTGAGTGGAGAGAGATTCTTCGTCTTTTGACTAAAGAGTAAAACAGCTATGGTTGTAAATATTAATACGTAACTAATAAGTAATTTTATTAGGTTATGTTCGGATAAATTTCTCAACTAGTATTTCAAAGAGAAGAAAATAGAAAGTAAAATGAATCAAACTTAACTTTTGGGATGTCAGACAGGATTTTAACTCATGGGAGGAGTTTGATTTGTTTTATCTGTTTTTTACTTTTTATTTTAAGTGATCATTAAAATTTGTATTCAAACTGGGTCTTAAAGTGTAACATGCATTACTGGAATTGGATTTGGCTTTGCTGAAGCGAGGAAGTTACGGATGTTGATTGGAAAATCAAAGAAGTATTTTAAAGGAACCTAATTTTTGTGCTGTTACATAAGTGTTATACCTGAGTGCAGTGCACTTATAATGCATTAGAATTTCTACGGAGAAACTGGATATTTGGCTCCACTTGTTCTGTATGGGAATGTGTTATGAATTGATTACACATGGCAGTTTTTCTAGAGTTTCAATTTTAACTGTCCATGATTGCTTAATTTCTTTCTGTGCTATAGAGATGGTCACTGTTGTTTCCTTAGTTTAAGATAACAGCATTACAACTAATGATGATGCATGCACTTTTCAATACAGTTGATTTAGAATCTGGAAATGTGGTTATTGATCTGCTTTCAATGTATTTGACTCTATGTAACAAAATAAATCATCTTTTGTTCTGATTTTTTGTTCATTATTAGTTGTAATGCTGAGTTAAGGTCACACTTTTTTCTTTCTTTTCAACTTGTCGATATGACCTTCTCGGTTCTTCCAGAGGCAACTGTCCCTTTATCATGGGCTACAAGAATGATGATTGCTCTTGGAGCTGCCAAAGGACTTGCATTTCTCCACAATGCTGAAAGGCCAGTGATCTACCGTGACTTCAAAACGTCTAATATATTATTGGACTCCGTAAGTTTCTGGTATTTTAAAGTTAATTAATCTTTGTGTATGTTATGGCTGTTATAAGCGAATTACTATTTTTTCACTGTGATACCAAATGACTACATAGGATTATACAGCAAAGCTTTCTGATTTTGGACTAGCTAAAGCAGGACCACAAGGTGATGAAACCCATGTATCCACTCGAGTCATGGGTACATATGGTTATGCTGCCCCTGAATATGTAATGACTGGTATGGTCTTTGTTTTCCAAACATGCTCGATTTGTAAAATAAATGGAAACTACGAATTACTTGAAAACTTGAACTTCGATAAAAGTTTTTTGCACTCACCATGTTTTGTAATGTGAATTAGCTAGGGTAAAAATTGTTGGTTCACTTGTTCTGGGCATAACATAACTTCACTGTACAATGTTATCCTTGTTTTATTTTATCCTGAAAATTTGTCTGCAAGAGAAATTGTTTTTTGTAAGGCTTCACCAATAGGAAGATATGCCAGGCAACACCAATTTTAGTTTGAAGGACCAAGGAACAAGATTGGATACTTGGATGTAGATCTCTTCAATTATGTAACAGTACACAGACCAAAGATTTGTCTATGAAATAACTATTTTGGTATCAAGCGATTGTTTTAATCACATTGAGGGTCAATCTCAATTGTTTCCAGTCCTTCAATCGTGCAACATGGGTACAGAATTTCTTAAAACAGACTATACCTTTCTCTGAAATATAAATTTGAAGATCACTTTCTCATTATGTGTCATGATTTTTTAAAAAATAAACAAGCATTTATACATTGTATTGTTACATATAATTAACAATTCAAAACGTTAATTTCTGCTTGCATGTACACATTGAACTTGTTATATAATGGGCTATTGCCATTGTTTTCTGCATTCCGATGGATGCATGTTTAAGCATGCATTGATACACCTACATTTGGCATTTGTGAAAATGGTCAGGCCACCTGACGGCTAGAAGTGACGTCTATAGCTTTGGCGTTGTTCTTTTGGAGCTCTTAACAGGAAGGAAATCCGTCGACAAGACCAGACCTGGCAAGGAACAGAGCTTGGTAGATTGGGCAAGGCCAAAGCTAAATGACAAGAGAAAGCTGCTACAAATAATTGATCCCAGATTGGAGAATCAATACTCAGTTAGGGCTGCACAAAAAGCATGTAGCTTGGCTTATTACTGTTTAAGTCAAAATCCCAAAGCGAGGCCCCTAATGAGCGATGTAGTTGAGACATTGGAACCCTTACAAAGTTCCAGTATTGGTGCAGGTGAAGTCTCATTATTATCTGGTTCAAATAATGGGAGTGCTGGGGCTTTCGCCATGAACAAAATCTCTGATTACCGTATGCGTCAAAGGTTTTCAAACAACGTTGGTCCTGGTGCTACTTGTCGATCTCCGAACCCAAATTGTTCACCAGGTGCCCCAGCAGCACTACGGGTGAGATGATAATCTGATGCAGCATTGAAACCCTTTCTTCTTGGTGTGCTTCTCGAATCTCCACTTATCTCAAGAAATAGTATTTGTTGTTAAAATGTGGGTGCATCCTTGTTTTTGTTGCTTTGTACATGATGATAATATGGTGACAAGAAGCCCCGGTGGATAATTTTTGTATGGATGTTTGGCCTTGTGTTAATCTGGGTGGGAATTATTGTGTGGAAATCTCTGCGTAGTTGTAATGATGGTGGCATGAGAACTAGTGTAACTGGCTCCTCCTCACATCATCAGCAGTGGAAGAGTAAGACGACCCGAACACGCAAGTACCTAATGATGTATTTTATTGGAAATTATTAGGGAAACTGAGGGTAAGATAAGACTATCATGGTTCACATTTCCATATCATACCCGTTCCTATCTTTTTAACTCACTAATTGGTATTTTCAAAAATAAAGATGGAGGGTCATTTTCAACCTTTTTAAGGTTTTTGTAACTTTCCTAGTTTCAAGTCTTGCAAGTTGCTTCACTTTTTGTAGTTCATGCCATCTCTCTATACTTTAATAAATCAGCTGAATGAGTTTGTTTAACCACCACCGGTTCAACATATAAATTAATATATTTACTTCTTTTTCAGAAGAAAACTATTGGTGTGTTTACATCTTAATTTAGCAAACTGGTTCTTTAAGAATTATTTCATTTACTAGACACATTTTCCGCTTTACTCAAACTCCATCAATAGAAAGTAAAATCATATCCGCTTTACAAAGAAAGAAAATAGTTAATTTCTAATAACTTAATAAGTTGTCTATAATTGAAGCATACCTTTGTAAACTAATCCACCACTAGAGAATAAAAATCGGGTTTAAGTATAGAATAATTTTACTTGTTATGGTCATATAATGATAAATTTTTTTCATATTTATCTAAATCTATCATATCAAATAGATTTAAATATAAAGCTAATGAATAAGAAAAAAATAACTAAATGTTAAATCATAACGTCCACAATAGTACTGGTAAATTTTGTTACATGATATAACTGGTAACATAACATTCAAGAATTAAGTAAATTTAATATAAGTTCAACATAACCTCAGGATATGTTAGATAAAGAAGAAATAAAGAGATTGAAAAAGAAAAAAAAAAAAAACAGAAGTGAAAAATATAAATAAAGTTTATCTGATTGAAAAAAAAATAGTAGATAAGAGACAAAATGAAAATATAAATTATTTTTATTAGAGAGAAGTAAAAGATAAATAATTTAAAAGTTAATTTTTAAAATAATATAATTTATAAATTGCATTATTATTTATAAATAATATAAGTCTTTTATTATTTTTATAAATAATAATAATAATATATTTATTTATACGTTATTTTTATATTTAAATATTTAGTTTCTACAAGTTGAGTCGCTGCAAAATATCTGTAAATTTTAAATGTCATTTTCGAATCATTATTTTTAAATTCTTCTTTTCAACTATATTTGGTTTAATTAACATTAAAAACATAAAGTATTAATTAATATAATTATAATGAAAATCCAATTAAAATAATTAAATTTTTAATATGTAATTTAATTAATATATTTATTATTTAATAATTTTTTTTTCTAACCAATAATTTTTTTAACATTATATTTGAATTATAATTTTCAACTATATTTTAGACGTTTTAAATTTATTTTTTCCAACAAATTCATTAACACGGATTTTATTTGTTAAGACAAACAGTAATAGATTTTTAAGATTACTAATTAATTATATTAAAATTATATGTAATATTAAAAACTTATTATTATTCTTTTTTTCCTTCTTTACACAAATTAAAATTAATATAATTACATTTTACTTAAAACTTATAAATTTAAAATAATCTATGATAAACTAATAAATTATTGAATGAAAATGTAAAAACATATAACATTACATTTTTATATTAAAGAATATATATATATATATATATATATATATATATATATATAAAATTCAATTCAATTATATGCCTTAAAAATTTAAGTTACCTTCATTTATAATATATATTTTATATTACCGTAAATATACAAATTATTATTTTCCATTAAACTAATTACAGTTAACCATAATAGAAAAAAAATCAGTTATGTAGTTGGAATCAATAGAAGAATAATTCTTTTTCAAAATAATTAATTATATCATAAAAATTCAATTATATTATGTTATCACAAAATTCGCTTTCAAACAAATATTTCGGATTTTTCTCCTCGAGCGAATAATAAAAAAAAAACATTAATCCCATTTCATCTCCTTAATTTTTCCGCTGTTTTTTTTTTCACCAAACCAGTCTTTTCTTTTTAATCTCCATTCCTCTTCTTCCCTCTTTCTCATCCACACCGAGCACAAGTGTAATCAAAATGTATAAAACCATGTTCATAATATACACACAATAGTCATAAATAGCACAACTTAATTGATATAAACAGAAATTTTCAAATCTAAAACTATTTAAATCATTTACCGAATACATTTTCACTAATTTATCAAACAATAAAATAATACTTAATGAGACAACACAATTCTCCATCAAATTCTCACACAGCAATAATACAATAGGTTATTCAAAAGATAAAAAATGAAGAAAAATAAGTTGTGTTCAGATGGCAGCATAAGTTGAACATTTGGATTCCCAAGTCCATTCAAGTAAACCTCAAACTAATTTAAAAGATAATTTAGTTAATCACCAAATTTTTGGGAACACTTTTGGTACTTGTGATCAACTGTATTGGTTAGTAGAGCGCGCGAAACACGATGTCTAACATAGTGAACCAAGTTGAACAAAAAACCCATTTTTCGAGAAGAGTAAAAGCTTAGTGTCTCCCTATGTGTCTGCTTCAAACGAGACACATATTAGTCTCCTGACACGTGACCCTTCCCCTCGTAGTATCTTTTCTCACTCTCCCCCTTCTTCTCATTTCGTTTCTGCATGTCATAAAAATGCAAGAATCAAGAAAATGAGTGTTGAGAACAAAGAAACAAACTAAACACAACATGTGTAGAATGACAATCAGATGTTCCCTCTACACGTATGTCTAATCGTCATGGTGCAACCATAATATTTTTGTGAGGTGTGTTGGAGATATCCATATATTCTCAAACTGAGATGGTGTGATAGAAATCTCACTCAACTCTAGAATACAAACCTCAGTTTAGAAATTGATTTCATAGGGTTGACTTATGTTAATATTCACTCTCTAATATAATCATACTGGAATGTTCATCTCTTTTTAAAAAGGTTCTTTTCTGATCATCATTCACTATCATTCTCTAATATAATCACATTTTTTTAGTCTTAAAGCTATCATGGTATCGCCTATCTTGGAATTTTCAATTTTGTGGGGCATTCTAACCATCAAAAGTTTCTGTCATTCATTCACGTAACATAGAATCCTATGTATGACATCCCAACCAATCTCAATATCATTTATTTAAAATGGCATTCCAGACACCAAAAAAAAACAAAATGAAACAAAAATACGTTTTTTCAAACCAAACAGTCTCTTAGTTTGCAATAATATTTTCTATTTTCATTTTATATTTATTTTCACATAGTTTCAAAAATACTGCTTTTTTAAAATCAGAAAACATAGTATTTTTTTTTTTCAATTGCTGGTGAAAGCAAAAAACATTTCCACACACAAACCCACCATTAGGCTTAGTGGGCCAAGGTATAACTCACTCCTTCTAAACACTAAATTTCAATGTGTATATTACTTGCTCCGATTACTTTTATCTTGCCCGTCTTCTATAGTGCTAAGTTAGCCTCCAAATTCTTGAAACCAACCCTCATTCCAACAGGAGTGCGCAATCAATTCATTAATAACTTCCTCAAAATAATTGATTAAAATAGGTATATCAAATACAAACCAAACCCCTACAAAAAAATGCTTTTGCTTGAGGGAGTAGTTCACCAACCTTTGCCACCACATTTAGTACTTATGAATTACCTCAAGAGAATCAATGCCGAAGCATTTATTTGCCATGGAAAGCATTAAAATATAAAACCGTTTCTAAACTACTAAACCAAATTACCAAACAGGTCATAAAAGCCAAAGTGGGCAAAATATCATTTACATTTGTGAACAACTAATATCAGAAGGACACCAGTGACCGCATGTTTGATCTTGTTATGAAGTGGTTAGCTAACAAGAGTAACTAGGATAGTAATTAATGGATTGTTCATAAAATATGACTATCCCATGTTTTTTAATTTTTTTTTCCTATGCTAATTATAATTAAGACAGGTTCTTCAAAAGTAGGATTGTAATATATTTTGCCAACAAATCTCATATTACATACTTATCTCAAACTAATAAATCAAAAAGATAAGTTAACTCAACTACAGATATCCATGTTTTGTGTATTATACCAACTATACATACTAATTTATTATTTAGAGTGTAAATATCACAGACCATCAAAACAAACATGCTAAATATCCTGACATTCTAAATGTAACAAGTATTATAAAATGATAAGCGAAAGAATCCAACAATTACTTCTAACCAAACAAAAGTCTGAATGTACCTGGTATGCCTCATGATTTGAGACAATTCTTTTAATTATTGTAGTAGTTGTTATATCCAGAGGACTTTCTAAAAGTTTGAAGATGCCCATGCTAATAGGAACAGCATATGGATTGCATTGTTCCTATATGAAAACCAATGTCAATAACTGATAGATGGAGGGATCGTTGAAGATGCAGAAGCAACTTATACAAAAAGTAATAATTGTAAATACATCATTGTAGCAAAATTGTTCACGACGTACCTTCTGAAAATCATTATTTTCTGCGATGGTTCCATGCACAACTAATGAGATGTTAAATGTAGTGATCTGCACTCAAATGAATTTAAAAGTTATTATTTAATTAATAGCAAAATATGTAAATGGAACATGTTCCAACTAAACCAACCAACCAAGAAATTGTCACTAATATTCTGCTACTTTTCTGACAGCAGCAACAAAACCTTATCTCACTAACTGGGTGAACCATGTTGCCGCACTTATAACTAAAATAAAGCTAGACAGATGCATAGAAAAAAATAATTGAGAAAAACAATAATTTGTGAATGTCATGAACTCAACCAACTTATGCAGTATATTTACAAAAGGGTTACAAAGATAATTTCAGGATGACCAAAACTAACATAGAGCGTATACAAAAAGGTAACCAAAATAAATTTATTAGTAAACCAAGACTGCTAGATCTCTATGTATTAAAAAAATCAAAATCACAACTTCGTTGAAACACTCAAAAGCAGAATCCTGATTGAAGCTATCAGTAAAGTCTTATCCTAAACAAATTTAAGGGCAACAACGAACCTTTTATTTAAAAATATATTTATTGAAGGTTCAGGGAATGCTCAAGTTTCCCCTTTCTATCATAGAATGAATATCACTTAAACAAAGACCAATTCAAAGGAGACAGCAGGTGTTAATTACCATGTACTTCGGCACTACAGAATTTCAAAAGGATGAATAAAATTTGTTTAGTTACTAGTATAGGCATTCCAACATATATTAATAAATCTTATGACTCAAGAATGTTTAGAGCAATAGAAAAGAAAGAATCACCATGCACAAAATTAATGAAAATTTTAATAATTTAAAATAAGACTAACCATATCTTTGGACACCTCCCATGGAGCACCAATTATGACCTCATCCACATAGCGACATGCTAAAACACTTAGACTTCTTTCATGAAGATTCATGATAGGACGATGTGATCCTCTAGTTGCACTACAAAGAAAGAAATCACTATAAAATTTCCAAACACTACCACCCTGTATGAAATATAAACATAACCATTATTAGATGCTCAAATTTTACTAATTCAAATTAACTTACAATTGAATTCAATATTACTGTATAACAGTTTTTGGTAATGATGCAAGCCCAATAACTATGGAGCCTGATCCAAACATCATAAAAATGCAATAATTATAGAAAAGAGAGAATAATTTTTAATACGATATTAGAAAGAAGAACAAACAAATCTTTCACTTAAAACAAAATTATCATAATCCTATGGCATATTTCAGAGACAAGACAACCACTAGAGAAAATCATTAGCCCAGATGGTCATATAGAAGCCAAGAAAAAAACATTGTATTTAGAATTTTATAACACCCTATAATTCTGAACAGGCTTGAAAATAAGCAATTAGCTGTATCATACTACCAAGGTGAAAAATGAACAACTAATTTTTTTTTCACTCAAGAATTCCTAGTACAATAGATGCATTTAGAGTTGCAATAAAATGGTGCAAACAACTTCCAAGGACAGACCTAAAGGTAACCGTCTCACCCCCTTCGTATGATTTCCATAAAATCCTCCATGGCATATTTTACATAAACCATCATCATACTAACACCATGGAAACAACCTAACAAGGGTGGCACCATGACAACCACCTGATAGACACTGGATCAGAAACTAGAAGAATGAAATTTTGTTAATAAAATCCCTAATTGCCAATCAGTACCAGTATGATAGCAGAATGGACAAACTTGTTCTCTACCATAGTCCCACCCAATACTAGTTTTCATCAGCTAACTTCCCTTGTCTTGCGTCTGTTTATAACAGACTAACCAATCACCTATTCTAACAGATTATAGGCCTAACTAACAGGGCCCATTAACACCACCACAGCAACGAACGATAAATAAAATTGCAACCTGCCCCCCCCCCAATCCCAGTCAACCAATATGTCCAGCTCCCATGAAACGCTACTTTGTCCAAAGTTTTTCTAGCTTGCTCGCATCATTTAGGATGACAGGTCATGATTACACAATCATCGTATATTATTTTTTTCTAGTATTGGTCTTTCTGTTTTTACCTTTCTTTTAAATTCAAGAATGTGATACTCTTGATAAGTTTGATATGTTAAGAAATAGTTTAATTGCGGTACTTTAGAAATTTGTGATGCATCTGACATTTGGCATGCCCAGAATGCATCTGACATTTGCCAACAATTCATCTGGCTTATTTCCATAGTGTATTTTCTGGTTGCCACTATTCACCATTGATAACACTACTAATAAGAATAAAGCAAAATTAAAAAAAAAAAAAGGTGGGACAGGGAGACATAAGGTTGACAACCTGACTGTGTGATCAGTGTGTATTCCAACAAGAAGAAAATCTCCGAGATCCCTAGCAAGCCTCAAGATCTACATGATATAATGGTCAGTTAAATATCCAATCAGACATCCATTTAAACAATCTAAAGGCAGTAGTAGCATAGAAGTTAAAATTACAGCAACAACCCAGTAAACAACTTACATGGCACACCCTCCCAAAATTTATATTCCAGTGCCAGATATAACAGTTAGGCAAATGCCAATATATAATTGTATAAGAGCAACACCAGAAAACAGGACATTAGTTATCTTGTGTTTCTTTCTCACTACCCTCGACTTAATGTTGTGAGACTAAGACATTTGATTTGACAATGTTGCTTGTGTGGATTATTTGCGATAAAAACAGCTTATAATCAAGATATTACTAAGCTGAGAGGGCTTTTAAATTAGAAAGCTGTTTTTAGGTATATGTAACAGTCTGGAAACTATACCTCCACATGTCCTGCGTGAAAGAGATCAAAAGCACCATCTATATATACAATGCGAGAATCAGGTCCTGGACCCTGGAACAGAGAGCATGAGTAAATTATCAAGTCATATGAAGGTATTACAACATACAGCCTAGCCTACACAAAACCAGTGGCGAATCTTATTGGGAACTGAGAGGGGTCATGCCCCTGCCTCCAAAGTTTTGTACCTTCCATATGTATTTATAATTTTAACCCCTCAAACTTGATGATCATTAAATATATTTGTTTGTATATTTATAATTTTATCCTCTCACCCTTTCATCTTCTTTTATCCTTTCATATTCATTTATTATTTATTAATAATATATTATTCGACCCCCCCAAAATCAATCATCAAGATCCGCCACTACACAAAAATGGATCTTCTTAAAATTAATTAGAGAAAATGTTACAAAATCTCAATGTAGCACAAAATTAACAGATATACTTCTATTTGCAATGGGGAGAAATAACCAACCATAATGAGTCCATCACAGCCATAATAGTAATTCAGAAGACCAAATCATCAAATCATACAAAGAGATATGCCATAGTTACTTCAATATCTCTCAGCACATGGAATGATAGAGAACAGAGCAAAATGGAGAGAAATAAAACAAAAGAGAGCTTAAAAGAGCTAATTCAATTTGCTTGATGTAGTCTCTTGAGCTCTCCACATAATCAAAATCTAAAAAAATAAATTAGAGAATCACAAGCTTGAAATTTAACTTGATGTACTCTCCAAACTCTTTGGTTCATCGCTAGTCAATTTAAGATTACTGAACATGCTGACATTGTTAAGATTCCAACATAAAATCAATTGGCAATATGTGGAGTAGCCTAACATGTATTTAAATCATACAAAATGACATGAGGTAGGCGATGTGGGACTTTCAACACACCCCCTCCAACGAAGTCTGCCGGACCAGGCAAATGGTACTTTTGACCCAACTAAAGGGCAACTTTTGGCCCATGACAATAACCGGAAAGATGTTAGGCTTTGGCTCTGATACCATGTTAAGATTCCAACATAAAACCAATTGACAATATGTGGAGTAGCCTAACATGTATTTAAATCATACCAAATGACATGAGGTAGGCGATGTGGGACTTTCAACAGACATCAATAGGACAAGTTTTCCAGTGAAGGTCTGGCAAGATAAGTCTCATTTCTCCCACAACAAGCATGCCTTGTTTTTTGTGACTTGTGTAGCATTCAAAAGCCAATCTGATTTTCCTTTTTTTAATTCCTCAGGAAAGTTTCTATTATAACAACTTCTGAGGATGATCACGGGTTCCATTAACCCATGAACCTGAACAATCAGACAGGATCACAAAAAGGGAGTCATTATTTTGTTTATTTTTTATAAGCCACTGAACTCAAGCTAGATTTGCTATGTAAAACTAAAACCTCAACCTCAAACTGGATTAGCTATATAAAACTAGCATCATTCCATTCTATTCCATCCATTTCCATCAATCCAAAGACAACCTAAATGTCATCCTAGAATATGATTCAAGAACCATTACTAGCTTAACAAAAGTCCACAGTGTAAACTGAGACATATACCTTAAAAATAAACTTCTGGGAGCCCGATTATGTTGTTGTGTCTCTAGGTTTGTAATTGTATGTCACCTATTCTGCTGTTTACCAAATTTCTTTTCATACATGATGGCATAAAGATAGCTAAAGGAAAATGTCAAAGCGATGTTTTGGATACCAAGTTACCCCCACTAAAGAACCTTTTATGTCATCTTGTCATAAACTGTACTAACCATTAACAATAGGCAATTAACATCTACTATCATTAGCCACAAACTTAATTCCCAATAATCAGCCTTACCTACATGAAATTTATCAAGAGATGTAAATACAAGACAATAAAAAATCCTCAAAAAGTAAAAAAAATGGAAAAATACTAAGGACATATACATTTGACATATCACGTCAATATCTGGTAAATCTATGGAAGACACCCCCCGCCCCCAACATACACTCTAGAAAACTTGGCAGAACACCACAAAGAAGCCAAGTGACCTACTTGGTCCTAAATGAAAAGGCAAACACTTGAGCCCATATACACCCAATAAACACAAATTGAGAGGTGAACAATGCCAATTCATTTAGCAACAAGGTTCAATATTTTATAATTCGCATGGCCTAGGCTTTCCTGTCAGTTGAATTGTAAGTAAAAAATTATGCTTAGCTCTTCCAGCCCACAAGTTTCAATAAACAAGTATAATAGAGAAGGCAACTAAATTCTTAAAGTAATCTACAAGAGAAGGAAATAGGCAAACAATGAGGCATTTGTCAATGACAAATGCTCAAAGATTCGTTCTTATACACCAACACCATGGTTTGGAGTGAAATATAAGATTAAAGCATCATAAACACAAAAGGATGCAGAGTAATGTAGAGCAGCAAGGAAGTTGATAAAAAGCTTAAGAGCAGTTAAAATAATAATGAAGATTTTAAATGAACATACCCTCCCATTTGAGAACTGAACAATTCTACGAGATGTAGGTAGAAAATGAGATATACGAGTTCCACTTGCAGTTGTTGCAGGTGCACCAGCATCAAACTTAGGACTATGGCCATTGCTGAACTGTCTTTGTAAAGAAGAATGATTGTGACTGTCAGTTACAGACCTTTCTCTTACGCAGAGAAGCATGCGACCTGAGCAAGAAATTATTAAAACTTTAAGTTTATATACATGTGAGAGCTATAAGGGAAACCCTATCAGAAAGATATATAACCTCAAAGGGAAAACATAAACACAAGTTAAAGTCATATATATGCTTTCATAAAGTAAACATCAAACAAACAACACACCGAATCATCTAGAATGGACCAGAGTAACAACTATTGCTGGTTCAGTGAGAATGGCCCAGCAGTTTCATCGTCAAGCTTAGGTGGACAGAACCACAGTCCACAGAACAATACGGAGTAAGGAAAGCGGTCTAGAGAAAAAGGTAAAGTCTTTTAAAAAATTTAGTCAACTTGTGGGGAAATTTGTTGCATAATTACATAACTTCAGAACATTACAGATTCACCCATTCACCAAATTTCCAAATTAAGCTTCACCACAAAAATAACCTAAATGGAAGAAACATATGTTAAATTAAAGGTCCATTTAATATTTCGTTTATGCAGAATGATAAAGAGTATCAAAAAGAAAGAGAATATACAACTTAAGGAGTGAGGATAATATATCCTGCAGCAAACCAGACATAAAAAGATACATCTCATATATATATATATATATATATATATATATATATATATATATATATATATATATATATAGATAGATAGATAGATAGATAGATAGATATAGGGATATATAGATGGATATGGAATAGGACCTCTTGGGTATAAAGTCTGAAGACTTATGCTAAATCTTAACCATCAGATTCAAAAGATGTAATGGCCTAAATATACTTGAACAACAAAATTAAAAGAAAAAAAATAGCACGTGACTTGTTTTCAAGCATATCTTGGCCTTTTCTTTTTGCTTCCCTCGCCCCAGATGCTCCCACTAAAAAACTGTTATTACCTGGAACCAATAATGAACCCCCAGTTGTAATGATATCTTCACTATAAATTAAACAATTAAATCCATTTCAAAACAGTTCACAAAATTCGCAAGTGCTTTCCAAACTTTTGAATTTTTAAGCAATCCTTACCAGCCTGGGCACAGCAAAGATGGCGGTTTTATTTTCAGATAAAATGATTTCAACCATTAAGTATAATTTGCAGTATTAGAAGTAACAGGACTGGAATGAACGAAATAGAGATGGATTGATTTGTATTAAAAATAAATTATTAATTGTGATTTATAACAAGAACGGCTCTTGCCAATTATAAATTCCTACAAAATTAAAATTTTATTTTGATCATAGAGAGACAGAACTGTCTAGTGAAGTGGGATAACCACGATGGCAGATCCTATGGCTAAATGATGGTTGCAGCATCCTATGGTGAATCAACTGTCATATCTGAAGAAGCACTGTGGCAGCTTCAGGAGGAGGGGCAGCAGTGGGTACCCTTCTTCAACTAAGTCAGACACACACATTCGTCCTTTACATGGGATTGTTAGTAATTTTTAATTTTGCCCAGGGTAATGCAAAAAAGAAAGGTCCAGCCTATCGTCACTTTGTCAATTATTTTTATTGTTTGGTCAAAAATAATATAAACCGTAAGATTTAGTTACACCATCATCAACAGTTTCTATTTATATATACACACACACTTACACTATCAATACTCAATGCATATATCTAAAATCACAATCTCAAGACACATAAACAAGGGAATATTCGAAAGTACTTGTATCCAATTATTTACACAAACTCTATATAAAAGAGACCAATAGCATGACCAATTGCATGATAACCAAAGAAAGAATACACAGCAATAAAAATCTAACCAACAATATCAGTGCTTGAAACCCCTTCAGTGCGCTTTATCTGCTTATACCGACCAGCCTTCTTAGCATGAGCATAAGCATCAGTTCCATCCGGAAGAACACAAGGATCGTCCCCATGAATAATGTAATCTATCTTGTACTCATCAAAAAGCTTCTTCATGAACTCCTCGGTTATTGCATATGGAGCTTCAGGAATAACCTCATCCACCCACTTCACTGCATTCACCATCATCAACCTACCACAACCAAAAAAAAAACTAAACCCCCCATCACGATTAAACAAACAAACAATCAAGTTCCACAAAAACATTAAGAATTTGGTTCCTCTAAGGCAAGCAAGAGTGCTGTGATGTGACAATTAATACTTAAACCAAGGTTTTTAAAAAAGGGTCCACGAACATTATGCTCAACATCAAGGGTTTTTTTAAGTGTTCGCAGCTGCAATAAGACCACAATTTTGCAGCCACATCTACCGCATTTGTCTACAATTCTCTGCATTATCAAGAAACGCAACAAAACCGCAACCACACATTTATTTTGTGATATAAATGTGGTAGAACGGGGAGTCACCCCAAACTAATAGACAGGGAGCCAGTGATATCCCAGGGCTTCCGGCAAAGGTCACCTAAATGATTACCACACAGGTTCAACCCGCAAGCAATTCCACCTAGTTGCACCTACTCAACACCATGGAGAAGGTGAAAATCCACGAACACAGTTTAAAACTTTCATTTTAACACATCTATGATTTGTATACACATCCCTATGACATAAGACCGTTTCATCAACCACTAAGATCACTCACTTCATTACCCTCTAAGGAAAATTGTTGACTTTAGAGGAACCGGATCCCAAAACTAAAAACAAATAAAGAGCATTCAAAACAATGCCAAAAATCGCAACCTCCAAGATCACCACCCCAACAGAAACGGTTGATTAAATAAATTAGAAAAAGGAACACAAAGATGAAACCTTTCGTGAAGAGGGGTAACGGGGGGACCCTTGTTGGCAATGATCTCGGCGTCACTAACAACCCCAACAATCAACTGGTCACCGAGTGTACGAGCTTGGCGAAGGGCATTGCAATGGCCATAATGCATCATGTCAAAGCAACCGTCCATGTAGACGCGAACGGGTTTCTTGTGGCGTCTTCGGGTCTTCCAGAACATTCCAAGCTGGGTAGAGTATGCACCCATCAGTGACACCCCTACGATCACCCCTCCCACCATGCACGTCACCACCCACCTCGGCGTCGTCGCCGACTTCTCCGTCACCGCCTCGAAACTACCCATTTTCCCTTTCCCTCTCTCTCTCCTTCTCTTTCTCTCTCTATCTCGATGTCGATATCTCTGTATCACCGCTTCTTCTCCTTCCTCATTCGTAGCACCACACACAAATGGAATGGAATGGAATGAAAAGCGTTGCGAATTGGAATTGCGAAAGCAAAATATTCGGCCTAGGTGCGACAATTGTAATGGTAAGATTCCTTAAAACTGGGCCAAATCTTGGGTTTGGGTATTTATATCAAACTGAACCGACAACGTTCGAGACCCAGCCCATGCCTTGTCTTTTTTTAGGTACAAAGCAACGCGGGCCTAATTATAGACCCAACTATTGGCCCGAGTACAGTCCATGGGCTTTTCTGCGTCGTTCTTAAGAAGCCTTGTTCGAGACATTTTACGATTGCATTGCCACTTCTTTTAGAGCTTTCTGTTGAGCAGCACGAAAAATTTTTTATTTCATTATGTCATAATTAACACTATTGTTATTTAAATATACTTTCATTTTAAAGTTCTATTATTGTTTAACATTTTAAATATAAAGTGTCTTTAATTTGAAAACATTCAAAAAGTTTATATTTTCTTTTTTATTGGGTTTTCATAGAATTAGAACTTTAACTCTTAATCACTCGGTTAAGTGGCTCGAGTTTATCATCACTACCTACTTGTAATACAATATGCAATAATAATAATAATAATAATAAGTTGATAAATCATAAACACTAAAATAAAATATTTTTATGATTCGTTTTATGCTAGTAGTGTAATTTGTTTGTATTTATAGAATGGTTCATTATAATAAGGATAAACATTAATTGTAACCGTAAGATTGATCTCATAGCCATGGGATCGTTCACACTAGATACCTGCCTCCTTTCTTCTTCATCAACCTCTGATCATCGTTCATGTTGGCGAAGACAGTGGAACGAGGTTTTTTATCCTCCTCCAACGACTCCTCTACTTTGATGTAAAACACGACAACAACCACCTCGTCTCAACCCTTGGCAGCCACGACGCACTCACACAACACCCTTGTCATGTATTCAAATAACGACACCAATCCCGACACAACGAATAAGGAACAATTCCTTCTCCTCCTTGGAATCATGCAGAGGCAGAAGCATGACCCGTTGAAACAGAAACCCATCTTCTTCCCAATGTCTGGAAAGATACTAACTTTAGCCCCAGATCTGACACAGTTTCATTGGATTTGAAGACTCAAAATCTAGTCTCTTTTGGTGGTCTTCTTTTAGATCTTATGGTTTTCCACTTTTGCCTTAATTAATCGAAGAATCTTTTATTTCTGTTTCTCTTACCCACTGAAAATGTGTTTTGACAAGAGACATGGTGTGGTCTGGTAGTCGCGGTGACCGTAATGGAACAAATGTCTGTATCTAAAACCAATTAAATTTTATATAATTTTCATTTAATATAAAAAGATCATCATATTCATAGTATTTAATATAACAATTATTTATATAGGTTTCTTAATTACAATTTTAAATTTTGTATCATAATAAAAATTATGATAATGAAAAACAATTATAATTTAAAATTATATCTCATATTCCTTCACAAATTACTAATAAAGATAACTCTGGAGGTGGATATACGTGTATTTTTTATATTATTGAATAATTAAAAAACTCACCAATAATACATGTATTATCTCATATATTATATAATTTAGATATAAAATAGATTATTATATTTTTATTAGTTGTTGAGTAATGATACGAAAAAAAAATATCACATTCTCATTAACAACGACATCGTAGTTTAAATAGATGAGAGTTTGGCATTATATGTGAAAAATAATAAAAATTAATATGTTTAAATAATAAAATGATATCTTACATGATTTTCTTAATTTATATGTAGTACATTGTTTTAATACCGATTCTAAATATATAAAATTAATAATATCTAAAATGAGATTGACAAATTTAAAAAAATATTCTTATTCACAACTCTATGATATAAACAAATGGATAATAAGATTTAAAAATCACTCAAGTACTAAATAGAGGTTGGTAAGTAAAGACGAAATTACAATCCCTTAAACAAAATTAAGGACAATATCATTTATTATTTCAGAAGTCATAAGCATAGATTTAGTTAAAAAGATACAAACATAAGTCAAACCCCAATTATAACTCATTCATTAACATTTAATGCATATATCTTAGTCACAATTAAGATATATAGAGAATATCTATGTGGGAAAAATTAGTTAACTAGAAGAAGAGAAAAATGTGGAAAAATAAAGTTATTTATGGTCAATACATTTTAAGATAAATGCATTTCAAGACCAAGTTAGATATTAAAAAAAAAAGTTAATATACTTAAAGATCAATCAACAAAAAGATACTAGTGGTTTTTTTTATTATTATTTGAACAGTTTTAGAAGAACAAGTCACATGAAGAAGATAGAAGAAAGAGGAAGGGGGAAAGGAACGTGAAAAGGAGTGAGAGAGAATTATTTGCATTTGATAGGAAAAAGACGAAGGAGTAAGTAGAAAAGTGAAAATGGGTGTTTGCAAAATCCAAGAACATGGAGCAAGCAAGTTAGCTATAAAAGCAAAGACAAAACATGTATCTCATCAATCTATCGCTAACTTTCTCTCTTACTTTGTACTACACGATGCTACAAAACCCACACCACAAGGAGGAACCACTGTCCCCTTGGGTATTGAACCCCACGATACGATTTTGCAACCACGGATCTTCAACATTCATAAAAAGATTAAATAATAAAATTATAGATATTTATTTAAATATATTAAATAGTCATTAAATTTGATAAGGATAAAATTATAAATTATATAACAGTTACAAAATAAATAAAAAAAGATTGAGAGAATAAAATTATAAATGTATAAGTAAATATATTAAATATTCATTAAGTTTTGGGAATTAAAATTATAAATTATATAAGAGTTACAAAACTTTGAAGGGTTTCGGTCCCTCAACTTCCAATAAGATTGGCAACTGTTTACAACCACATACACAATTATTATTTTCCTTTTTAACCATTTAATCTCAATGATCTAATGCTTGGACATTTCTCATTGTCATCATACAAGCCATTCTTTGCAAGTGTGGGAAGTGAACAAGCATTGTTGAATTGTATTATTAAATCACCCATCAATAGAGAAAAGTTTAGCAATTTTTGGTTTAGTACGTTAAACAATGGGTTTAATTGCTCTTTGATTTTTACCGTTTTGTAACTTCGCAACTTTAGTCCTTTCAATCTTCAATTGGATCCGTTAGGTCTTTTGGATATCGCAAATATTTCAAATGCTAATTGAGTTCCCAAAGATTGAAAATTTTCGATTTTAATCATTAACTAGTGGCGTGATTTGCAAATTGGAATTATCCAACCGATCTAATTAGGATAGTTAAAAGTTTAGAATGCTAAAATTATTATAGCTGAGATGACGTAGAAAGTATCTTAAATTTAAAAATTGTCACTCACAGGATTCGAACTCGGGATTATAGAATTGAAAACTATTACTCTAACCACTAAACTATTATAATTTTCTGATAATAACTTTCAAATAAATTATATTTATATACAAATAAATATACATCTATGTAAATATATATTTATTTGTATATATTTTTCGGAAAATATTTTTATTTTTTTTCGACCAAAAATTCACTTAAGTTAATGAATTGTCACTAACAACATTTGAACCCAGTATTTTAAAGTTGAAAGTTAATATCTCAACCACTAAACTACTACAATTTTTTTATAATAACTTACAAATAAATTATATTGGTATTTTTCGATCGAGGGTGAAAGTGAGATTGACTCTTGCTTGAGTGAAAATATGTTAAAGCTCACGGAAATTCACTCACTCAAGCCTCGCTTGAGCGAAAATTGATATTTTTAGCGAATGACACGTTTCTCAAATTTATTTTATATCATTATATAAATAAAATTATAAAGATTATATTTTGTCATTAAATTACAAACTCATATAAAGATACTCGCTCACAAATTTAGCATCAAGTTTTGAAAATTCACTCGACACACACTCTCACTTTCGAGTGTGCCCTCACGTCCAACATATAAATATATAACTATATAAATGTATCAAAATATATAAATATATTTGTATTTATATATTTATATATTTACACGGATATATATTTATTTGTATATAAATATAATTTATTTGTAAGTTATTATCGGAAAATTCTAGTAGTTTAGTGGTTAGCCTCCAACTCTAAGGTACTAGGTTCGGGTTCGAATCCTGCCAATGACAATTCTCTTAAAAAAATAATAAATTTTTAAAAAATATAATATAAAGAGATGAAGGACCTAATAAAAATATAATATAAAGAAAATCTAGACTTCTAGATAAATAAAATGGAATAAATTGATTGTAAATAAATAAAAATTATTAATTTAAAAAATCATACTTCTAACCTCAACTATAAATAAACTTTAAAAACTTTATTTGCAGTAGTAAGGGATACTTATGCGTGTGGGGGAGTTAAAGTTGGATCTGTCAAAGAGATGAAATTACAAAATCTCAGTCATAAAATGGTTCATGAATGATCCATCAAAATCAGTTGTGGGTCAAAAGCAAATTTTGTCTTAAGGTCAACAATGTCGCCTAGGGTTAAGGGGTGAAACAACGTCATTGTTAGATAATTGTATTAATCTGAATCATTATTATCGGCACAAGATACTATTTATTCATATAATACAGATTTTAATTAAATAACAAAACATGTTATACGAGATTAACGTGGATTCGTTTAATATGAAAGAGAATCATAAATAAAGTGCATTTCTCTAGGGCAAGGGCTTATGAGAAACTTGAGAGAAGTAGAAAGAAATATCTTAGGAGGATTGATTTGATAAACAAAAGTCTCTTGAAGGATTACAAAGAGTTTCCCATTATTTTTCTACGATGAATTATTTATTATAATTTTATTGGTTTAACTTAATTAAATTTGCGATTATGTTATTTAACAATAAAAAATAAAAAACCATTATTTACATGGACTAATTTACGTATTTTACATCAATTTGAAAATTGATGTAAAAAAAGAAAAAGATATTATTTACATGGACTAATTTACGTATTTTACATCAATTTGAAAATTGATGTAAAAAAAGAAGAAGAAAAAGATAGATACATAGTTATAAATAAAATTGATGTTATATACATGTTACTAATGGTAGAAAAGTTGCAAAGGATTTATTATTTTTGCAATTTTGTATGTGTTGTTTCCTTTTTCAAAATCAGAAATAAATGTTGCAATTTCTTGTAAATCGATTCTTGATATACTAATATAAGACTATGAGATTGAAGACATGTGACGCTACGAAGGTTATGTCTTAGCGCCATGCAACACTAGTGGAGGAGGCATTCGGAATATGCCACGTTGCAGGAGGAGATAAGGGTGACACAAGAAGTTGAGAAGATGTCAAGTCATATCCAATAAAATATTTAATTAAAATTGTTTAAAAATAAAATTAAATATTTTATTATAGCTTTTACAATTGATTTAAGCAAATTTTTTTAATTTTTTAATTTTAAATAAATTTTTTAAATAATTTATATATAAAATCTACAATAAAATATTTATTTTTATTTTTATTTTTAAACAATTCTTTATAACAACTGTATGTAGCACACTATCGTTAATATGTAAAGATAAGGAGAAAATGAGAATCCAGAGGTTGAAGAGTGGAGATTTAAAGTTGTAGGAATTTCTAGGTAGTATTTTATGTTTTCAAAATTGTAAGGATAATTAAATCAAATCAAAAGAATATATAGAAATAACAGCTACAAAATAAACGCAAATAATGAATCAGAAAAAAATATAAAATTAAACACAAAAAAATAAAACAAAAGCACAATATTATTGTTGTAATAATGCATATGGTTGAAACAAAAGAGACACTGTTAATAAATAATCTCGCAAAGGATTAAGATTGGAATCGATGTGTTATCCACGTACTACATCAATTATAAAAATAACAAATGTAATAAACTTCCTCATAATTACAATTTCACCACTAAATTATTTTTACATAAGTTACAAAATAATAATAATATAATACTGTGATGTAAAGTAACAAAATTCTACTAATGAATAAATTCTATCAATATATATGTCAGCATAGTTTAATATCATCAATCATTTAGAATGTTGTATAATAGAGAAAATATTATAATTTTTATATTTTTAAGTTTATATTTTTTTTATTAGGTGACGTATTTTCTAATAATATTAATAATTATTTTCTTTAAACTATATATATTTATTTGTTATATTTGACTTCCTAAAAGCAATCTGCATGACCTCTAAGCATCATTAATTCATCATCCTCTTTCACAGTCTTGACACCTTCATAAGCAAGACAATTTTAGGTCAAGGATAATTTTTTAGGTTTGTCATGTGTGAGGAGAAAGGGATGAAACCCTAATTTGGAATTTGTTTTGGAAATGCATTTTTCTGGATCTTAGATTTATAGTATGTTTTAAACATTTAATTGACAAATTTAAGGTTTGTGTGAGTTTTAGATCCTTGCTACTACAGTTTAAGGTTTATGTATTACAATGATATATAAATTGTAAATAAATGTTTCAATTATGATATTAATTGAACAATTATAATTGTTGGATGATTTGAATTAGATTCTCATCATGTTTATAGATTTTATAATATAAATTTATGTAACTTCTTTTAAAATGAATAAATTGAAATATCTAGATTTTTCTTATTATTGTTTAAACCACAAAGATAAATTTATGAAATACTAAAAATTAATGAATATTCGTGTCACTTATTTTATGATGAAGAATAAGATAGAATGACAAATATTAGTATCATATTTAAACTTAATATAATTATTTTTCACAATCATCTACTTTTATTAAATATTTAATTTAAATTTCTAAATATTTTTAGTAGGTCATATGCAAATGCGATTTGTGTTATGATTCGAAAAATATTTCAAAAATACACGACCACATAAACTCGTAGATATAAGAAAATCTTCTTAAGGACTATGAGATTTTTTTTGCTAACGTTAGGATCAAATATATAAATATGGATCCTAAATCCTAATCGGATTGTTATAATTTTAATTATATATTTTACAAAAGAAAATAAAAAAAATCATTTATATTTTGAAAATACGTAATATTCGTTTTTGTGAGAAACTCTTTTTATACTTATAAATCTTTCTTTAATATAAATATAATAATTGAGGTGCATATAATCCAAGAATCCCGTTGTGACATGTGAAGCATTTTCACTTGAACATAATCTTAGAAATAAGATTTTGTATGATGTATGTACGATATGATTGGCGTATTTTGTGAATATTTTCATTTGGCCCACCTTTAAAATAGAGTATGGTGGAATAATATATTTATAATTGAATTAATATTTTGATAAATGTTCATCAGAGGTGTTAATCTATTTTATTTTGTTAAAGTTATTATAAATTTTCTGTTTGTAATATATAAAATATTATGTAAGAGATGATTAATTATGAAAATAATTAAATAAAGAATGAAGTAAAGAAGATGTGTACGATGTAGCAGTGTTGTCATTTATTGAATGGTGACATTACTCTGAGCAAAAATGTGGCCTTTTTCGAGTGTCTGTCTCTCACGTGCTCCAACTTTCTCTTCGCATCACTGACACCATCAGACACACCACAACCTTTTTCCTTTTCATATCCTTTTTCTTAACCTTTTTAACCATATCTTAAATACGCACCAGAAGTAACTTTTTTATTTTATCTGTTTATTACTATTATATTTTTATATTCAAATTTAATAAAAATATACTATTATAAGGATAAGACTTCATATCCACCAAATTAATTAATAGGACATAACTATAGAGCATGCCATTTCAAATGGACTCAAAATTATATATATATATATATATATATATATATATATATATATATATATATATATATATATATAGTTTGAAATTTGTTAAACCTTATTTAAAATGAAATTTATCATATGATCATAGAGAGGAATCATTGAATTATATATATCAAATAATAAATACATGAAGTAATTCTTAATTCTTTTATAATTTAATAATGTATTATAATAACTTATTTTATTTGTTAAAATAAAAACATTATTAAATATTTTACAAAAAAAAATTATATTCATATTTTTATAATTAAAACTAGAAATTAACAATATAAAACATATAATATCATCTTCGATTATATAAGATTAAGATATTAAGGGTTGAATATGTTTATTTGTAAATTATTTAATTTCTATATTTATATATGACATTTTAAATTAGATTTCTAATATATATATTTATATTTAATATAATTTAAAATTTTAATAGCATTATTTTTATCTAAAAAGCAAAAATATAAGACTTTATTTGAAACATAGAATTTAATATTACTTTAATCAATTGTGGGTTAATGATATGAAATATTATTGTTAATTAGTTTAAAATTATTATTTATCTAACATTTAAACTGAATTTTATAGAGGAAATGTTACTTGATATAATATTCATTAAAATTTATGATTAGCATAATTTTGAAATAATCATATATAAAAAATTTGACAAATTTTTTTATTTATTAAATAACAGCATGGATACTTTTGTACAAATACATGCCTCAATCGAAAGGAATTTAAACAATCATTGAAAAGCATTTTTCAAAATAATAGGGTGATAGGGACATTAGTATAATTTTTTCAGAATATATATAATATTTGAAATAATATAAAACTTGTGAAAAGGGAAGAGTAACAATTAACAAATGTATGGCTAGAAGTAGGGCACAGGACACTAGAAGGGTATAAATAAAAATAAAAAATAATTGAGGGGGAAATGTATACTATAATATAATATACTATAATATAATATAATTTAATAATACTCTTGAACTGGAAAGGCATTTACCTTTTTTATTTTCTCATGCAATGCAAAGACGTTAACCTTTTTAGTTCACTGTTGGCTCGAGAGAATCTAAATGAAGACAAAAATTAAATTTTAAAATTTTGTTTCACTTCTGAAAGACGCGTGCCTTTTTCCCCGTTCATTTTAATTTTCTATTTTTTCTTTTGAGTAAACACTCAAATTTCATAACTTTTTATTTTGGGTTGGTTTTCTATTTTCTATAGATATACATAGATTTTGGAACTAAATTTAAAATTGGAAGAGTCAAACGTTTTTTAGTTTAACTCATTTTTTTTATAAAATATTTATTTTCTATCGCAAGATATTTTTTCAAACACATGTTCTTAATCATGTTTTGTGTCGGGTTACATGTTGTATATTCTAAGATTTTCTTTGTGTTTTTTCTTGTTCACGTTTTTCAATAATTTAGTAAGTCAACATTTGGGGCTAAGTTGATCTCAGTATAAAGACCTAAAAATTCCCATTAGAAATTTAAAAGTTATTCAAGTCAAAATTTAATATTGATTGAAAAAGTTAAAAAAAAAATCAACCATAACAATTGTGTCAATGGGAGAGCAATTTCAAGGAAGCATGCTCGTAAAACTATGATAGAATAAATTATTGTTGTTGGAATTGAAAACGGTCAAAATTTACGTCAATATTCAAATGAATTTTATAGTAGTTTTTGGATTTAGGGAATGTTTGGAGAATAAATTTACTTTTGCAACATGTTCAATATTCAAAAGATAAGTATATATTAATAAATGGTTAACTCATTTGTTATTTATGTGTTGTCTCTAATAATAATGCTTACATTAAAAACTTTAAAAAGTAGATAATATTTTATTCTAATAGTTTAATGTGTTTTGGATGGAGTTTGAGATGAAAAGGAAAGAGAGAGAAAGAGGGAGAGTTTAATATTTTTTTATGACGCCAAAATCTTTGATTTGATAGTGCAGTGTGTTTGTTCAATTCATTCCACTCCTACTACGAATCATTTTCAAAATTTTTTTATTTTACACAACAAAATCACTTGTCAGAACAACTTAATTATTGTTTTCTTTCGTTAGGATTCGCATCACGCCACCTAAAAGGACTTCTCAAACTAAACCCAATGCGTTGTGTTAGTTTATGTTTTCAAATTTTCAAAATTAATTCAATGACTACTAAACGTCACAAGGTAACGATGGATTTTATTACATGCAAAATTCCGTGTTTGTGATTAGGATAAGAAAACGAGTAGGTTTTCCTCGGCGGATCTTACCTATTAAATAATATATTATTAATAAATAATAAATAAATATAAAAAATAAAAGATCAAATTTATTAATATATAAATATATTTAATAATAATTACATTTAAAAAGATTAAAATTATAAATACTAATATAAATTATAATTATAATAATTATTAAATTTATGAATCATAATTATAAATATTAACCTAAGTTAAAAGATTTCAAAAGTCACATAAATTGATTTGTATACATTAAAGATGAGATAAAATGAGATAGAAACAATTAAAAAGTTGATCAATTTTTTTTAAATTTATATATTAAAATTTAAATAAAAAATATAAATAAAAATAAATATTTTTTATCAATTAAAATATATAAATATATTATAATTTAAATATTAATTAATTAAATTTAAATTATTGATTATAATTAAATATTTTAATATATAAATATAATAAAATTTTAATTTATCTAATAAAAATATTAATTAATAAATAAAAATTTAAAAATATTCATATAATTAAATATATTTTTTTAAATAAATACACATAAAAAATTATATATATAAAATATTAATAGATTGAATTATTAATTTAGTCTTTTGTGAGATAAATTGAAATTTGTAATTTATTTTATAATCTCATTTTTTTGTAAATTAAGATACAATGATGTAGTCTTTTCTGAGACAAATTGAATTTTGTAATTTATTTTATAATCAGTCCGTCATCTATTTTTTATAAATTAAGGACATAATGAGCAAAAATGGAACGAAATGACTAATTTTATCATCTATTTTTACATATTTAAAAGATTTTTGTTTTGTTTTGTTTAAATCTAACATATTTATTCGAATAATTTACATCTAGTAAAAATGTTTGTAGTCTTTGACTTTGGTTTCTTTACATAGGAAGATTTTAATTTTTCATAAGGAGGGATCAACGCAATTAATTAACTTGACTATAGAAGTTTATAAATTTGAAAAGAAGAGTTCACAGGAAAATCCAAGTTTTGGTCAGAAATTAGAAACCTAAATTCCAACATTATTATGATAAAAGACAAACACGACATCAAATGAACAATTAAAAAATTACGAGGTTAAATAGAAACCTAATTTTGAAAGACTAAGTTATGATTTTCATTTCACCGTTTTGTGTTTTTTATATAAGCAATGATATTGTACATGTAGCGGAAAGTGACTTATTTAAAGAAATTAAAAACAGGCAAAAAAAAGTTTATTACTTTATAATAATTATAAGTAAAAAAAAAAAAATGGAGATCAAATGGAGTTATTTTCTTCATAATAATAAAAACATTAGGAAAAGTGAAACACACAATTATAACTTACTAATTTTAGAAAGTTAAAACCCTAATTATTAAATTATGTGATGTATAATTTTATTTTTTTGTTTGAAGAGAAAGTTGGGGTATTAAATTATGAATAGATAGTGGTAGATTTTGAAGGGAAAATTGAAAAGGTAGGGGAAGAAGTGGGGCTAAGCTGAGGTTCCTTGGAGGTCATTGATTTTGGTGCCAGCTTTTGGGTAATGTGTCCGTTGCAGTGGTTGGTTTGACAAAGATTGTTAATGGCAGAAAAAAAGGAATTAAAGAAAAGGAAAATTGGGATGAAGTCAAGAGGAAAAAGCTGGTTGGTGATGCCGCAGTTGAAAGCAAAATGTCAAACGCTACGATTCAGATTTTTGGGAACTGAGGTTTGACAGCTCTTTTCCTCTGCTCCTCGTTCCTACCAACACTACACTTCCTCCCTATCCATGCCCTTCCCTTTTCCATTTCCATCTTCAATTATTCATCTCTCATTGTTTTTCCATTTTCAATTCCCACTTTTTACACTACCATCATCATTTCCGATTCAAAATTTTAAAACCAATTAGTAAAATATTTATAGGGTGTAATGAGTTGGGTTGGGAAGACGACGAAAACGTGGATAAAAATATCATCTTGCTTTAATTTCCGATCACAATTCACGTTCACATTCACAACTGCAACAATAACACTACCTACCACGCTTCCTTCTTCTTCCTCTTTCTTCTTTGCCTTCTTTCTTTCTTTCTCTAGCTACCTATTCTTTAACATATCATATGCTATGTTTTCCAACACATTCACATTCACGTTCACGTTCATCTCAAACAAAACTAACATATACTTGGCAACATATAAATAAAATCAAACCACACAAGGACGAAGCACTAACCGCCGTGGCTAGTGTCATCCCTCCCCAACACCCCTCTTTTGCAACCATCCAAAAGCCAAAAGGCATAGAGAATCGTGTTGGAGAGAGGTGGGAAAATGGGAATCCTATACCCACTGTCCCAATCTTCACAACGTTATCTCCTTGTAACTTTGGCCCTGCCATACCCCCTCTTACAAAATTCAAACAACACACATGATATGAGCTTGTTTTAAGCCATGCCCCCCTTAGGATTATTTGACTAGCAAAAAAAGCAAACACGCACACGTACACTCCCCATAACAACCTCAGTTTTTTCCCCTTCTCCTTCTTTCTTTCCATGATCTGAACAACCCCATATCATCACTTTTTTTTTTTGTTTCTAGATCTCACTTTCTACAACCCCAAATGGCTGCTTGTGCTTTGTTCAGTGGTGGCACTAACATTACCGAAGATGGCAATGTTAACAACGGAAGTGGAAGTGCTACTAGTCCTCTGACAAGTGCGTCTAACTCTAGCAACATGAGCAACGAGGAACAACAACACCACCACCACCACCTACATGGCATCGTGCCACAGCCTCATTGTGAGAGAAAAATGGTGAGGAAAAGAATGGCTTCAGAGATGGACCAAGTTAACGTTCATCCCACTCCTCCACACAACTCTTCCTCCACGAGTGATTATCCTAGGTTTCCTCGTCGAAGCACCACCAACATGAACATGTCATCCTTAGAAAAAGGGTCCACCACCACAGCTACGTTAGCCGCAGGTACATGTAGTAATAGCAATAATAATAATAATAACTATCATTTTAATAATGGTAACAATAATAGTAATAGTAGTATTTCGTCAAGAGATAACGTTGCTGTTCCAAATTACCCCACTGTGACGGTCACAACCAACTACTCCACTATGTTGCTACCTTCTTCCACCACCATCAATTCTTCTGGTGTTGCTCCAAACCACAGTACTCACCAACACCATCATTTCCAAGGACTTGTTGAAAGTCAAAGCCAGGGCCAGCAAAACCCTGTGCCCGCAGTGTGTGGATTCTCAGGGTTACCACTTTTTCCATCTCAAAGCCAAAGGAACCGAGACAATAACACTACCACCGCCAACATAAGAAGCAGTGGAGGAAATATTGTTGACGTGGTTGCTTCTTCTCCTTCCATGGATGAAACTTCAGCCGCAACAAGTGGTTGGATCGATGTTATGTTGAAGGATCTCATTCACAGTTCAAACAGTGTTTCAATTCCTCAACTAATCAGCAACGTGAGGGAGATTATTTACCCTTGCAACCCCAACCTCGCGACGGTTCTTGAATACAGGTTGCGTCTTCTCACCGAGTCTACCCCACAAAACAAAAGAGGCACGGAAGGGGTTCCTCTTCCTCCTTCCGTGTCCTCAGTGAAGCTCATGAATAACCGTGTGGATGGCATTGTTCCTAATTTGCACTTCACAGATGCATCAGGTGGGGCTGTGGTTGTGAATCAGCACATGTTGTCCAGTTGGGGTGTGCCTCCAATCACTCCCCACCATGATAACAACAGCACCCCTTCAGTTTCTTTGGTTACTTTGCCTTCACCGCCGCCACCACCCCATTATTCACCCCCACAAGAGAAGCAGCCTCACCCTCAAGAGGAAGATCTAGGAGCAACCAGCAGTGCTGAGGTGGCACTGACAAGAAAGAAGAAAGAAGAGTTGCGGGAACAGAAGAAGAAAGATGAGGAGGGTTTGCATCTACTCACTTTGCTGCTTCAGTGTGCAGAAGCTGTTTCAGCAGAGAAACTAGAAGACGCCAACAAGATGTTGCTAGAGATTTCCCAATTGTCAACACCCTTTGGCACATCAGCACAGCGTGTGGCCGCTTATTTTTCAGAAGCCATATCAGCAAGGTTGGTGAGTTCATGTTTGGGGATATACGCCACTTTGCCACACACTCATCAATGCCACAAGGTGGCATCGGCTTTCCAAGTGTTCAATGGTATCAGTCCTTTCGTGAAGTTCTCACACTTCACAGCAAACCAAGCTATCCAAGAAGCTTTTGAAAGGGAAGAGAGGGTGCACATCATAGATCTGGACATAATGCAAGGGTTACAGTGGCCTGGTTTGTTTCACATTCTAGCTTCAAGACCTGGTGGAGCCCCTTATGTGAGGCTCACGGGGCTTGGTACCTCCATGGAAGCACTTGAAGCCACGGGTAAACGTTTGTCTGATTTTGCAAACAAACTTGGCCTTCCCTTTGAGTTCTTTCCCGTGGCTGAGAAAGTTGGGAACCTTGACCCTGAGAGGCTCAATGTTAGCAAAACCGAAGCTGTTGCAGTTCACTGGTTGCAACATTCCCTCTATGATGTCACCGGTTCAGACACCAACACCCTGTGGCTCTTGCAGAGGTAAGTGAAGGGTTTGGTCCATTCATTCATTCTATGTACTGCATGGGTTATATTATACCTTGTGTAATTTGCATGATCCGGAGGAAGTTGATATAAGCTGAGTGGGGGTTAGTACATAGGGAAATAGTCATAGTACTTTTCATGAAAGAAATCCCCAGAAACCTTTTTTCACCTTTATAGGCTCTAGTACTCACTTTATGTCTCTGCCCTTTTCTTTTTCTAAGGAAGATCGGGAACAATGATTATGTCTTGCTATGAATCACTCTCTGCTCATATCTTAACGGGGGAGAAAAAAAAAAAAAGAACTGTAGAGTGCATATAATAAGTTTTGAAAGACAAGGTGATGGGTCTAATGTATTTATTATTACTAAATAGTTTCTGGAGTTTAAAGGCAAGTTAGTGGAAAAATCAATAAAAAGTTATAATTTTTAAGTAGCTCTTGTAAAAGTTACTGGATATAGGAATTTGGAATTGAATGAAGGTGCATAAAGATACTTTACAGACGCCGCATGGATTATTTATTCTAATTTTCGATGCTGCATTTCTTGCATGGACTTGTGTTATGCAGGCTGGCACCCAAAGTAGTGACTGTGGTAGAGCAAGACCTAAGCAACACTGGTTCATTCTTGGGGAGGTTTGTGGAGGCTATACACTACTACTCAGCATTATTTGACTCTCTTGGTTCTAGCTATGGGGAGGAGAGTGAGGAGAGGCATGTGGTGGAACAGCAGCTATTGTCTAGGGAGATTCGCAATGTGCTAGCTGTTGGGGGGCCATCAAGGACTGGAGAGCCAAAGTTTCACAACTGGAGGGAGAAGCTTCAGCAGTGTGGGTTTAGAGGTATATCTCTGGCTGGTAATGCTGCCACTCAAGCTAGTCTACTCCTTGGTATGTTCCCATCCGAGGGCTATACCTTGGTGGAGGACAATGGCATCCTTAAACTTGGTTGGAAGGACCTTTGCTTGCTCACTGCTTCAGCTTGGAGACCTCCCTTCCATAGTGGCACTGCCATTACCCATCACCACTAGGCTTTTCTGTTGTTGGCCTTGTCATCTCCTCATTCTAATCCTATGTAGCATCCATCCCTCTTTGTTACTTAATTTAGAGAGAGATTGTTAGGTGATCCCAAAGCATGTGATTTTTCTTGCCTATTGTGTACCACTTCAGCAGTAACGTAACAAAATAGAAGATATATTTAAAATAGGAAGCAGTGATGACCAAATGGTTGAAGGGGTACCCCACTATTGATTGACATATAAAGCAAGAAAGTTCTCTTGCTCGGGGAGCACTTGAGAGTTTTTCTGATAGTATTTTATTAGGAGAACTTAAAAAGGATGTTACTATTATATTCTGATTTTAATGCTTACCCCCAGTGAGTGAGTTGGTTATTAGTGGCTGTTTTGTCACTAAATGTTTAGAGTCGGTTTCAAGTATTCCCTGCAGTTTACTACTAATGTAAAATTTTGTTGTTACCTCAAATTGATCTGACCATTGTTGGTTGTTCAGTTTGGTTCGGAGCAGTGACTTGAATGGCTTCTCAACCGCGTGATATAGCACGAAGGGAAAGCATAATCTAAATTTGGATACTTCCTTTTTTCTTTTTTCAAGGAGCCCTGTTAAAAGAGATCCATACCATAAAAGACAAATTCAATGTTGAGGGATCCACATCCATTACTTCTGTTAGGAACATTCAACGGTCTTTCTGTAAGCACTTCGTGCTTTTCTTTCTTATTTATAGCACAATCTTTTGTTCGAGGAAAAGGAAAATCAAAAGCTGCACATTCTAAAGTAACATGGTACATCCACGGGAACACATTGCAATCTTCAAAATAATATTATTTGTGCAGTAAGTTTTACTAAACCACGTCCTCAAACAACAAACGGTGAACTTTAATTTAATTGCTTTGGATAACATTACTATATTTTTAAAATTAAAGAACAATTATACCTTGAAATCCATTGCATTCGTGTAAATTTTATCAAAAGTTTGATGTATTAATAATGCCCCATTTAGATTTCTGAAATAATACTTCATACATTGAAAGTGAACGATGAAGTTCAGTTACATGGAGCTGTTCTTCTCGTGTGATGTGAATTCAGCTCAACACATTCGATTTGATCATAATACAGCTCAATTCATTTTTTTAATATTTTCGAAGTTTGAGTCCAATAGTAACTAATTAAAAGACATTGGGGCTTCCTGCATTAAGCCTTAAAGCAAAATTGTTTTCGAGATCTACATTTTTTTAATATTCACCTTACTTACAAGAACCTGGTTAAAAGTTATAAATCTAAAATAATTTATACTCCGGAATCCATCCATACGTAACCTTTTATTCCTTCAGCGCCATCCAACAGTTCTTCGCTCCGACAAATGCTGTGACATATGGCAAACTTCATTAACCTTCAAATAGAAGTTGGTTTGACCCGCCAACCCTGCCTTCCGCTCTTCCTATGATATAACTCATCATGATCAGTTTCTAGAGACTGCTCTGCTAATTTTGCCTAGGATCCTATATTCTACAGTTCAAAACGAACAGAATCAGGTGCACTTCTCAATAACACATTTCAATAATTTATATTAGATCAAGCTTAAAATATACTTTCGGCTAAATAACCAAGCGTATTTTACGGAGGTTGTCTACAATTTTTTGCGAAAACTGTAGAGCATTGTAGCACAAGTTCGACCATTGGATCCTACTCCCCATGAAAATCATATCTCAACGATACAGTAAACAATAATGAATTGCAAAGAAGAGTAGTTACTGTTAAAATATTGCTAGAGGACAAAATTGTTGCTTCTTTAATAGACTTGTGGACAACATTTGTCATCAAATAGAAAAGAACTTGGGGCAAATTATGAAAGCAAAGAACTAGAACGAATAGCTCTACCTGTTTCTCAGCTACAAATAATTTACATCATGTAGAATAATAAAATCTTCAAACAAACAATTGTACTGTCTTTATATTTGAGTTATTTTTCATGGACCACTGCCTTGCTCATGTATAAATCTCATAGTGCCCACCACCAGCACAGTGGGGGAAACCTCAACACCAACAAGCTATCTCGAAAACTGCGAGGCTACTCAGACTTCTTGATCCTTTTGCCAGAAATGCAGGGAAGTTTCCAGGTTCCTTATTGACTGATTAATTTTATAATTGGTGTGTTAAGCTCATCACCACCATTGCTTCTTCCACAAAACCCCTTTGAAAACTAGATCAGAAAATTGAGCACCCAAAGCACAGGCATCATCTTGTTTCTTAAGAGCTCAACCCTACAATTTCCAAAACATGCAAGCTTACATGGGAACCGTAACTTACGAATTTACATTGCATTCACTCAAGAGCTGATCCTCTTTGTTCAGAAACTTCTTCCAATAGCTTTTGTACTGTGGAATTCCCAGATCAAGCCAAGGTTTCATTTTCCCATTATAGTGTAGCACCGGAGCTGTCTTAATGGGCTGAGATTCAATGGTATAATCATGACCCAGTCCAGACACAACCCACTCATTCAGTGGATATATTTTATTCTCAAAGGCGATCAAGCTTGCCCGCCATGCAATACCTTCGATAGATCCTCCTTGCATGGTGAACTATACAAAGAAATAGAAGACCAGAAAATATAAATAGCCAAAATACGCACAAGTTAACATCAACTATTTTAAAATTAACTTCATATAACTTCTTGCTATCAAAATCATAGGCCATTAAAAAGCACTCCTATGTTAGAGACTAATCTAAAGTAGATAGCCCCAAGTGATTAATAGTTGATTTCAGCATTTTTTTTTAGTTTGTGGGCCAGGCATGTTGCAATTTGGGCTAGCTGCAATAATAAGTCAGGCCGAAAGCATTTTATAAGAAGATTTTGTTAGTCCAAAAAGCTCATTTTATTGGTTTATATGGGCGAATCCATTGAGCTTGGCCCGAAAATTTGACACAGCTATTGATACCACTATATTCAACAAATCTATCTCAATACTGTTATTACCAACAATTGCGTTTTCTGAAAGATGTATTGCAATCGTAGAGAGTTTAGTTACTTACCTCTTTTATCAACTTTTTGTAAGTTTGAGTAAGACCAAGTTCTCTCCACCTCCCCAAGTCAATTACGTTCAACCCTGACATCCAAGCACAGGAATTGTGGCTGAAACCTTTCTCACCCAGATAACTTTTCAGTTGACCCAGCTTTACTGAGCAGAACAGCACTGCACCGTTAACTTTATCTCCCAAGTCTATGTTCCATAAGGCGGACAAGTCTTGCTGGACAACAACATCATCATCAAGAACCACAACTTTCTTCAAATTGCCGAATAAATCAGGAAGTAAATAGTGTGAATCAGAAAAAATTGAAAGGTATTCCGTTCTAATCTGCTTCATCGATGGATTATCATAACCACGAAATGAAACACGGAACTCCTCAGGCAAGGATAGATGCGATGGATTTTCCATTTGGCCATCCAGCTCAACATTCAGCACTTGAACAGCAGCATCCTTATATTGGTTCCTCAAGAACCAGAGCTTCATTGCATAGTAATTTTCTCCATCAGTCAACACATGAAAAACCTGATTCAAACTTTCCTGAAACAATGTGCAACCACAAGTAAAATTATTATTATTATAGCCGCTAATATTTAACCTCTATCAAATCAACAGTACACAACTAGAAGTATAACATACTTTTGCATGAAATATAGTGGAGTTGATTACTACTGAAGCTGCAAGCACATTATTAGAGAAAATAACATAATGCTGCAATGAAGAATCAATAAACTTTTCTTCATCAGCCTTTTCTTCATAATGTGGGGATTTGAAATATTCTACAGTTAGTTTCAGAGACAGGCAGTGAAGACTTTTCGGCATTGTCTGAACATTAAGTTTGTACAAGAATGCACTCTGTTTCATGTGGAAGTTGGCCTCATCCTCGGTCAAATCAAATATTTGTCTCAATTTCTTGTCCACGTTGTTGCAATCCACAGGAATTGATGTTATTCTGGTTAGTGTATTTTCCATCTTCTTTGAATAACTCTCAGCCCTGTAAAATAATATTTGACTACATTGTAAAATTTCATCCATATTTATAGCATTTTAAAAGAAAAAATAGACAGGTATTGTCAATCCTTGTTAAGAGAGATAATAAAACTATTCATATGATTAAACCTAAGAGCTTTGCTTTTGGAGAGTTGGCTCATAAGAATCTCATTCACCAAGTGGTAACTAGTTTAATCCATCTTGCCCCCCAATTCTTCTGAATTAAACTTGAATCACCATTTGGTAAAAATGAGCCACTGCATTGTTCATGCTTCAAGCCGAAAGGCTTTTGCATGAGGGTGTGCTAAGAGATAATAAAACCATTCAGTTCAAGTGTTTACACCTAAAACCTTGAGCTTTTAAGCGTGTTGATTCATGACAATCCTGAAAGGTAAGAATGACAGCAATAGCTTTCGGTTTGAGGTAAAACATAATATTAAACCCATCGATAAAACAAAGTTGAGACAAAATAAAAAAAAGATAAGACTAAAATGTATTAGGCCAATAATTGTCTAGGGAACAATGAATGATGCTAAAATGAGTATTTAAAATGTTGGAACTACTTAAAGGGTTGTCTGGAAATGTTAAAATCAGCTGGATCCAAGAAAACTACCAAAAGCCTGACATGCAAGCAGATCTAAAAACTGAAATTAAATATTATTTTAAAAGACTACCTGATTGTGGGTGAGATTTTACCTAATTGCAACTATGAAATTCCAATAACAGTTCAAACAGAATGCAACTCAGACAAGTAAAACTTGTGTACAAAGGAAAAGTCATACGAAAATATCAGCTTACACTGATGGAAGATCAGCATCTGAGGTAGTTTCACTAAGCATGTGCTCCATCTCCTGTATATTCTGTTTCAGTTGGCGAGACAATTTATCTTTTGCTGGGAGTTTTGCAATGCTAGGATAATAAGCTCTAGCCACAAATAGTTGGTCTTTCAGTTTCTTAACCAGAGCATCTTTCATTTCTTGTCTATGTTCTTGTTGCCACAGGCAATAACTACCAAATGTGACCTCACATGAATTTCTGTCTTCATTGGTAGAGCTTGTTTCAGTGCGAGTGACTTGATCACTGTGACCATTGCTAGGATTCTGTTGTAGAATTTAATCAGTTCAAGTCGTCAATTGAATGACAATATTTAAAATAGCTAATGAAGAACTTTTCTGGAGAATAATGTTGTGTCTAAGTTATATAACTTGTTAAAACTACATCTGGACTCAAATATAAGCAAAATTAACTATTTTTCACACTAATTAAGAATAGTAGTTAAGTTCATTTAATATTCTTGTATTCATACAACAAAGAGGTACTTTTTCTAAATTACCCTAAGCAATATTTGTTGGGGATGGTGCTAAGGTTTAAGGATATTTTTGAAAAAGTAGCATCAAATAGGATTGAGGTGATTGAAATTTGCTTATATATAAGTCCACCAAACATGACCTTTTTCTTTCTTATATTTGAGTTCAGAGGGGATAACACCAAGCCTGCCAGTGTTATTGGGCTAAGTTTGTATCGATTGTAGTACGTTAGTAGATGACCTATATTATTAGCATTGAACCGTTCTGATCAATTAATAATATTGAAAGATAGAGTTTTAACATGTTCGAGCAAAGCATTCATGACCCGCCCCCTTCCCTTGTGGAACTGTCGTGTATACTATTATGTCTTTCTCATCTCAGATTTTTCCTTTTGCGATCTTTTTCCCATACGACTGCAAGACCCTGTCTATGTTTTCTGCTTCCGGTTTTACTCCTAGAGGGCAGCGTTAGAAAGCATGACTTTGTCTCTATTATGTTAGGTCTTAGTATGCTGTGAATGTTATTGGATTAGGATCGTAATAGTCATATACTCGTACTAGTTACTAGATTTGCACAAGTGGGGCCTGGATCAATATTATGAATTGAACTATTTAGTGCCATTAGTTGTTAATGCGTTCGACAGAAGTTTCAACCAATTACAGTAATATATGCGTACATTTGAGGTCGGAGGTGATTGCAGAACACCATTTGGTGGCACCTTAGAACCTGAAAATCATTTAAAATTAAAAGCATAAAAAAGGAAGGAACGAGATACAAGGTAAGGAATGTTAGAACATAATATTGAATCAGTAGAACCACCTCTTTGTTTATCATCACTGGCAGCCTTATCAGTGGTGTCAGTAGATCCACCTCTTTGTTTATCATCACTGGCAGTCTTATCAATGGCGTCAGTAGAACCACCTCTTTGTTTATCATCACTGGCAGTCGTATCCATGGTGTCAGTAGAACCACCTCTTTGTTTATCATCGCTGGCAGTCTTATTGATGGTGTGATTCTTGCCATGTGGAACATATTTCCTGAGAACATCCTGTCATGGAATTATTATAAAAAATTAATGATACTGCCAAAAGTATTCTACATCTATATGAAGCAGTGTCCCCCCACCCCCCTTAAGTTCCTACGAAAGGTGAATTCTTATCCTCCTAGCTCATTTCTTTTTCTTTCCTACAATTTAGACAAATCAGTACATTTATACCCCCATAATACAGAAGAACTGTAATCTATTGATAAACGAGTCATGTTAATATGGAGCAAGGGGTTCAGAAGATTGAAGGAGACTTGAGGAAGGAATTAATAAAACTAGATTCAATAATAAATATTCTAATTCTATGGAAATCCAAAATGCAATGCTACATCATCTGGGTAATCTTTTAATTCTTCTATGTTGGGTAGACTCCAGATAAGAAAATACACACTAAATCTTTATCCAGACAATTAAGTCACCAAATAAAATTTCAATCCCCATATATTAGATTCACAAAGAAATTAGAAAATGAACTTGTGTTGTTGATCTTTCATGAGAAATAAAAAAAGTCATCGGGTCTATTTCTACTATCAGTCATCAGGACCTAGCTCAGAAGGAGTTAGGTATAACTGTCTGAAAGTGGCAATTATAACTAATAAGAAAGTATACAATAAAAGAAAATTCAAAAATACAGATTACAAAGAGAACAGTCTCTTACACTATAACTGAATCTCATAATAATATTTCGAATGCATCTTCAATAATAACTACTATTAATACTAGTAGTCTAGTATTATCATTTATACAGTTATATAATCAGATTAAAACATGTGCATTATGTTAAGTCCCTGAGATAATAATATGTAAGCAATAATAATTTATTATATTCTCTATCACTTGATCATGTTCAAGGACCGAACTTTGCAGTTTAAGAGGTTAACCTTCTATTATTAAATAATTATAAATAAAAAGGTAGCTTCACTAACGTCCTTGGTTCCAGCCATTGGTTATGGAAATCCAAATATGGCACAAAACCATAATACAAAATATCTCAAACTCACAAACTTAAATATAATTCTTAGAAAGGAAGGTAGAATTATTAGAACCTAACATTTGACAAAGCAATGGAGACAGCATAAAGTAAACTGAAGTGCTGCTAAACAGATAACTAAGATATTGGGTCTGCATGGAAAAACTTCTATACAAAGATTTTTAAGGAAAAATGCAATTAGTTTTTCCATAAACTAAATTTGTTTATGCATGAGTTAATTTGTTAAAGATATTTAAATTAGTTTCTTCAAAATACACAAGTTAATTTTAACTTTTCGGGAAGCTAATGTCATTTTTCCTTGTTATATTTTTCTCTCATAAAAGTGTTTATGGACAACTTTCTCCAAACAAGAACTAATCTGTCTCATAAAAAAAAAAAAAAAGCAACCTGAAAGCTACCAATACATCCAAAAGAGAAAAAATGGAGTTGAATAAGATACAATCTTTTAACATAAATGTGCAAATAACTACAGCTTAATTGCAGTACAGCATGTTTAAAAACTAAAATTGTTAGATCTTTTGGGTACTGGTTCTTGAATTATAAGGTGCCACTTTTTTATGTACTATTTATTTGGTGATTTTGGTTAGCATTAGGTGTATCCTACTTTGGAACAATTTCTAATGGTTATGTACAAAGGCTTCATATTTTGTGGTAAGATGAAGTTTATGCAGTTCTTAAATGCATATAGTTAGTTAGGATCGGATTATCTTATATCCCTCACCTATAAAATAGTATGGCGTACATGATATTCTTCTAAACTGCCATGTCAAAAATACTTATTACATTGGGCAACTTTTGATATATTGCTTTTATATTCTCGTGTGTTTTTCTTTTTCTGTTTCTGGGAATTCTTGTCTTCCTCTTCTGTCTGTACTTTTCATCATTTTTTTTTCTTTCTAATGAATTTATTTATACTAAAATTACAATAAAAACATAAATCCTCAAAAACATTCATGGATGAAATATTAAGATTGAAATGGAACCAAAACCCTTATCATGATGACTCTTACAGACACATGATTGACCCTCAATCTTTTTGGTTGAAAGGATAGCAAAGGGGTTTTTTTAATGAAGTGTGGGATCGAAAACTAAAGTAATTTACTATTATACCTTTAGAGTAAATAGATAAACCATTAAGCTTAAAAAGGATAATTTGGTCAGCACAATTCACAAACTTTAAGCATTTTTTCCCTCCTTCCTACTCCCCTCCACAAATATTGGAGGGGAGGCAAAATCAAAGGAGAGGTTTATTCATCCTCTTATTTCCCCTTCGCTCCCTTTCATTTCCCTCCAGCCAAGAACTGTTCAGTTTTCTTTTCAATTACAGTAGGCAGGAATAAACATACATTTTCATTCCTCAATTAAAAGATATGGGAGAATCAGCAATTTATATTACCAAACAAGAAGTGCAAAATTTAACCCCCACAGTATTTTGCAGATTACCTTTGAAAGAGTTGGTTCAAACTGGTTGATCAATTTCTCCACATGACTTGATTGTTCTCCCTACAGAAGAAATTTACAAAATAGGCAACATGAATTTGATGTTTGGGGGATAAGATTTAACTTTTAGGATATTTGTGTTGTATGTTCTATCTGGTTTGTGCACCAGTTATATGTTTCTTTTGGACTACACAACTGATCACTTTTTTATGTATCTATACAATGGTCGCACAAGCTTAACTGATTACTGATATACTATTAAATTAAATGAATGAATTACTTGCTCATTTTTGCTTGCTTTGAGAATATCACATCAATAATTGTGCACACCAATTCAACATTTGAAAAGTAGTCACTCGTTTGACTACTTTAAAAAACGACAACTTAAGCCATTATTTTTTTCTTGCAATTGGTGACAAATGTAACCTGACCTCAACTAAATCACTGAGGTTATGACCAACAATATTCTAAGGTTAACTAATTACTGATACTATTTTCTTTTTTATTTGTAAAATGATAAGTACCAAGGTTTCCTGATTACTGGTACACTATTAAATGGAAGAACTGATTGCTTATTTTCTTTGCTTCGAGAATATATATCCCGTCAACAATTATGCAAACCAATTAAAATTTAGAAAATATTCACTCATTTGACAGCTTAAAAATACGACAAGTGATGCTGGAACTTCTATCTTTTTCAGCAATTGGTCAAAACTGTAACTAGACCACAACTTAATCAGTGAGGTTACCATGACCAACGATATACTACCTAAGATCGCTAAAACAAATGAACAGCTACCACTAGGGTGTAAAACACCATACCTCAGACTCTTTATGACCGACATCATGTCTATCAAGACTTTTCTGATTCTGATTTGAAAAAGAACAGAGGTGAAGGGAGAAAAAAAAATACGACATCAGCATGATGATAATACACCTAGATGAAAATTGTATCAATTCAGATATATTTGAACTTAAAGCTTACCGAAGGAGAATTCTTCTGTTCATATATATATCCTGCAAAATCACAATGATAAGTAAATCAAGAGTAAGAAAAAAAAAACAAAAGAAATCATGTCAAGGCACAATATCTTCTATCAACAGAGCAAATTCAACTACAATAAAGGTGCATTTATGGCCACTAGCCATAAGTACACATATATTCTGCTGATAAATGCATATAAATACATCCAAAGCATAGGACATAAATTTTAGAATTCTACTACATTACAGATACAAAATTTTAACAGAAAAATGCTATTTGCGAAAAAAGTGAAATGCAGATTCTTCACTAACTCAAAATTGAATGGAATTACTTCATCCATAATTTCACTCAACTCTACAACAGTAAAAACAAACCAATGATTGTAACACATCCTGTGCTCTGCGGTTTTCATGATCCAATTATACGTACATTTAACTTTTCCCTCGTAAACACGTTCTTACTGTTATTATGATTACCAGGGCAACATTTAGATACATTTTCTTCCATGCTGTTTTTCAAGCAGAATTAGAGCTTCGCATCACTAATGCATGATGACATTTAATGCGAATCTTTATTATGCAATTTAAAGTGAAACTCTGATTCTGATTAAACTACAACATCAAATTCACTGAGGCACTATACTTGAGTTTCATCCTCCTTATCATCGTTATTATTTTCACTATAAAAACAAAACGAACACACAGATCTTTCATTGAATGCAAAATGCGTTTCGAGCTCGAAGTAACACAATAGAAGGAAACGAAATTAGGTTCATTGATTCAAAACAAGAGGAGATTCGGCAACGTCATTTCTCGCGTGGCGACAGAAACGGTTAGATCTAGAGCCTATGCCAGTGTCACGAACGAGGAAGAGCGAGTGAATAGAGAAATCGGAGGCATAATTGATGCGGATCTGGCGCGAGGGTAGAATGTGGAAGAACGGAAGAGCGTATATAAAGAGGAGAGAGATCTCGGCGAGATCGTACCCGAAGAGTGGAAGCCGTTGTGGAGACCGAGCAAGAAGACGAGAGGAACGAGCATGGAGAGAATGACGAGACCGAGCACCGCAATCACGAGTCCTCTCCACCGTCGTTTAGCGGGGACGCCGTATGAAGGAACCGCGCCCAAGCCACCGCTCTTCATCTGAGTTTGTTTTTTTTTTTTTTTTCTTTCTCTTTCTTCTCTCACACTCTCTGTGGAGATAATATACCTCTCTCTCTCTCTCTCTCTCTGTTGTCTTTGTTTCTTTCCCTCTCACTCTACTTCTCACACTTTTAGTTTTTTTTTTTAATCTTTTTTTTTTTTTGTGATAGCGTGTTATTGGACTCCGGTAGTAATTTTTTTAGATGTTTTTTCATGTATTTTAATATTTCTCAACCGCCGACTGAGGAGTTAGTTTTATTTTCAGCACCATTTTTCGCTCCTCTACGTTCTTCCATTGGTGCGCTAGCGTGAGCCTCTGTCTCAGGCCTACGATTGCATAGTGCGATTTTAAAAGATGGATCTAAAGGCGGGTTAAGTTGTTAGATTACCGGCAATGGTAGGTGTTAGGTAAAGTTGTTATGGGAAATTACAGCGTGTGAAGACAAATTATATTCGGTACGCGTAGGCCATTGTTAGAAATAGAGAAAATGATGATAAATCGATATAATAGAACAATAAATATTAAAAACTGAATAAAAATTTATAAATTATTTAATTAAAATTGTATACTGATTTTACGTGTAAAATTGAAAAATCCATAAGAATGAAAGATAAAGACAGGCAGATTTAAAAATATTCAAAGTGTTCAATAAAAAATCATATTAAGAAAAAAATATCAAACATTAATTATTACATGTAATAGATTGTAGCTATATAAGAACATATTTCATATATATTGTATACATATGAAACGTATATGACACAAATAAAAAAAAACAGTTAAATGAGTTAATGTATATGTACTCACCATTTTTATTCTTCTTCAAATCTTACAATCATCTTATTTATCTTTCAATTTATATTAATGTTTTTTATCCTTTACAGTCTTTTAGTCTACATTTCTTATAAATCATTTTACTTCTAAAAAGTTTAGACCTAACGTTATTTTTCTGATCGTTTGATTCATGAATCATTTTATTGTTTTCAAACATTTTAGTTTCATTTTTTTTTTATTTTACAGTTTTTACACTTTGCAAATTGTTTTCATGTTATTTATGAAATTATGATAGCATAGTTGCAATTCGTGATTTTGCAACTCAATTTTTATAATTTTATTCGAGCAATCCTTTATATTTGCTTGTTAGATTGTTTTAAACGTATTTACATGGTTTACAATAATTGTTTTTCAAATTAAGTCATTTTATTTTACCTTTAAAAATATTAAAAAAATAAAAAATTGTTGATTTTACTTATATATTTTTAATCTTTATTAAACTTATAGAATCTACAAAAATATTTATTTAAATTAAAATTATATGTATGATTTACAGTCGAGGTCATCGTACCACTAAAATTTACATGTAAATTATTTTAATGTTTTTTTATAGTTTATTATAAGTTCGTTAGTGTGAATTAATTTGAAATTCTTTTGTATCAGACATGTTTATATGAAATTCATCATGTTTTATTTGCTAAGTCTACTACTTCATATCTGAAACTTCATATTTTTTCTTCAGTTCTCATTGCAACGGAAAGCATGATTCTATCTCCTTCACAGTTATTGTTTTATACAGTGGGGCATAATATAAATGACATAAGAATTACATATATTTACAGGAAAGTAAAATTCGTATTACATTTGAACATCATATATGCTAGGAACAGTTGATTGTAAAACTACAATCAACAATCATTCCAAGAAACTGCATTATATGACCAATGAAGGGTAAAAAATTGAACAAGAGAAAATTCCCTGTACAGTTCCAAATCCTGAGTGAGATAACATTATCAGGATATTGAGCACAATAATTAACCAGTCAAACCTTTAAACCGTGCTCCTCATTGCTCACCACTTGAACTTGGCACAACACAAGCACACGTTTCATAAAAAAAGAAAAATAACAACATCAATGATACCGACCGAGTGCCAGCACAAATGAATTGTGCTGGGATTCTTAGTGGCCAAAGGGAGATGCTTTGGATGCTCCATCTTTTCTGTTACACAAGTAAAAACAGTTTCTCCTGATGAGGCAATGCTATCTCTCAGCAATCTTGGATGAGGAAGTCTGGTGTTGATGGATACTCAAGGCCTTGAAGTACAGGCATTCTTCTTATATCTTCTTCTGAATAAACAGGGATGAACCAATATCTTTTGTCCATCCCAAACACCTGATAACAAAGCAACATAAATCATATTGTGGAATTAATGATTAATTAGAGAAGTAATGAGAAGTGCGCAGAATTAAAATGAATATATTGTTAGCTCAGTAGAAATATATTTGTTTGTGAAATTATCTCCATTTCCATGGTTTGGTGTCCAAAACTCCTTAGCTTCACCCCCAATAAAGCAACTTGGATACTATGTATACATGAGAGGCCAATAAATGCATATGCACTACACGCCTGACATAAATTGTTTTACTTAGTACAAACAAACAAAGTTCACTTTCAATTTTAAATCTCCTTCTCCCTCTCTCTCCCTCCTTTATTCCAGACTAAATTTATCAATCCTACTCTTCATCTAGCAGAGTAACAATCACATTATAGTGATAACATACACAACTTCGTGAAACTTAGGCTCTATTTATTCACTTAGCTTTCGAAGAAGTTTTCTCATCCAACTTCTCCAGAAGTTGAAATGCCTGAGTTGATTTTAGCTTATGGGTTATGGGAGAAGTTCAATTGATTTTTCACCTTCATATTTTCTTTTCATATAAGTGCTAATAGAGAAGTTTCTAAATAGAGCCTAAATAACCTATTTGTTCTAATATTTGCATTAGAATTATAAAAACATAGACAACTTCTGTTCATCATGCAAGATTTCCTATTGCAGCCAATGTTCATTTCATCACCTCAAAGCTTCATCTACTTAAACTATCACATAGACATATGTTTGCAAGTTAAGGACTCTATCCACTGCTTCTGTCAGCGCCGGTAGCAGTTTGCTCAATAATGGTGCATGGACTGAAAAATCTGGAACTCATAGCAGTTGGCTAAAGTATTTGGCACGTTACAGTCTCTTATTGAAAAATGGTGCTAAGGTCATTAACTCAGATTAGAGTTCAAACCATATGACTGTATGACCTATGAAACCAAACCCAACTCGATTTACTTTTTAGGCTACAAAAAACTTCAAAGTAATGGGAAACTGACCTGTTCATGAGTCAGGGATGTCTTTTTGCCAGCATGATTCAAACCCATAGAAAAGCAAGAATTAGATGATTTTATAATGATGAATGTTTCCTTTTCATTAATAAAGTTTTATTTTTGTTCCATCAATAATGACCTAAGGGCACTCAATGATATTTTCTTAACAGATCAAAGTGAAATTGGGTCTTACATTGATCATCCCACTGCAATTTTGTTCAATTGCATTGTGGAGATATAATTAGCACCTGAGTAGTCATATGATTAATTAAGGTATTTGAATTCAATAGGGTTATTAGAACCAACTGTAAAGAACATCTAAAAGAAAAGAATAAAAACAATACGAATTTAGTAACATAACAGACCTGTTCAAAATTCTTCTTCAGACCAAGGTCATAACGCCATTTTGGTGAAGTTTTCTTCTCATATGCCTTCTCATAAGGAAGAAAATTCCATCAGCACCCACAATACACAAGCCATCCTCCCAGTAGGATAAAATTACAAACTATTACATAGAATACAGTAATGTTTTCACAACACAGTCCAATGCACACAAAAGGACTTACCTTTTTTCAGAATGACTAGTGCATGCCTTATCAAAGTGTCACAATTTCAATGCAATTAAATACTGTCATTCAACACGGACAAGAACTGCTTCTTTGGGTAAGCACAGAAAAATTCAAGGGCAAACTTCCCCAATGAAACAAAGCAAGTTGCACGAAAACAGAGTTCTTACGTTCTTTCTTGTTAAGACAGACAAATTTCTAAAGTAAACAAGGGAAAGGGAAAATAGTGCAAAAGTTACCTCAATAGTGGTGGTATTAGTTACTACCAATGACACGTGTATGGCAAGAAATCCCAAGACACTCAAGGAAAAGGCTAGATTCAAAACTGCAGTTAATCCAAGTGTTAGAAAGTCAAATAAGAAACAACAACTCAAATTAGAACCATGTTTCAGGACCTAACCGAAAGTAAGAAACGTTGCAACAAGATTGCCAGGTGTTCCAGTAATTTCTCCATCAGTAAAGAATGTTTTGAAATGTGGCAATAATGATACAGTCACAAGAGTGGTCTCAAGGAAAGTGTAGAACTGCACTAAGATTAATATTATACAATTACTGTATTCTGATAAATAATGCAACAAATTCACCACCTTCATGTTATACACTTCCGGTAAGGGGAAAGAATATGAAGACTTATCACTAGCCAATTATTTACGCCAAAGAGCATGAAGACTTATCACAAGCCAATTATTTACGCCAATTATTTACGTGTTTCCACTAAGCATATAACATAACACTATGAAACTATTCAATAAGCATTAAATTAAGTTGTTAGACAAACATGCCCTTAGTAGAGTTGTAAGTTTAGAAACTTGAGGCTCCGATAAATAATGATTCAAAAGTCCCACTAAGGCAATCTGATTTTCAAATGGTAGAAGGCTTCAATGAGCAAGATGATGACAATTAAGTTGCTACATATCTGACTTCGTGTAAAAATTAAGAAGTTGAAAGCAAGAGTACAAAGAATGAGTACCTCTAGAACAAGCTGAAGATGACAAAGTTACTATAAATTTGAATGTTTCTAATGATGAAGCACATGAGAGGCAAAATGATAAGGAGTAATCACCCCATAAAAAATGATGTTGAAAGATTTTATGGTAAAGAGGGGATAATGGTGATGAAACACATACCACATTTGCTAATGAAGATATGAATAATGAACAAACCGTTACCACACTAGCTAATGTATGAAAAACAATGAGACATGGAATATGTCATGAAAAAAATTAAAGAAATATGAGTGATCACTAATCAACTGACATAAATATTTTTTAGCTAAGGTGTACATACCAAGAAAAGGAGAAAATACTTGTAATTTAATGCTCCAATACAGTTAACTACCCAGACACAATGGTGGTCCATCTTCAGCACACAACGACCACCTGGTATCAAACCAGTAAAGGTCAAACTTATCCTGACTAGTATAAGTTTAGCCATATAAAGTGGAAACTTTTGTGTGCCGAAACTCACAAACAGAACAATGATGACATCGAGCTGGCTTGGGTTGACTGCACTTCCGACAGTGTCTGATCCCTACATTCGAAGAATCAGACCGCATGTTACTTAATTCTACCCCGTTTAATGGATCAACCTCTCCCCTCTCCTCATCAACAGCAGGTTTCCAGTTAGGAGGTACACTCCCCGGATCCGTAAACACAACTGTAAAGTAACTCCACAATACCATAACCAACTGCATAATAATAGCAAAATATAAAATTACCATTATCATTCACTCCACATACTACAAGACATGGTCGAGATGCTACCACTCGAGATAAATAAAACATTACTCGCCAAAATAGAATAGTATACGTGAGAATATGATCTTTAATCACCAAATAATATACTCTAACCCACCATATAAACCCATGATCCATAACTGGCAATCTAAATTCTAAATAAAATAGTTCACTTCCTCCCATGAATTATTATTATTATTATTATTATTATTATTATTATTTAAAAACGTTCATAGTTATTATTATCATTATTATAGTCAAATTGAAAACCTAAATGCCAAAAAACACTTGCTCACCACCCTCCCCACCCTCCACCTAACAAAACAGAAAATTTATTATTATTTTGTTTTTTTTTTTTTACACAAGAAGAACATATTTGAATCTTACCAAACAATGAAAAAGGATTAACCCCACGAAGGAGATAGGAGTATCAAGGCCACCAAGATACAATGCAGGTCCAAAATTAGTCAACACAACGGCGTAATAGGTAACACCCACAACCCCAAGAACCATTAATATCATGATCGAGCCTAATCCTTTCAGGGAAGTGCAGAACTTAAACACGTTCCAAGCCATGGAAGTTCCAGATCTATACATATTAGAGAAGAAGGAAAAAACAGAGGAACCCCACCACAATTTAGCACCAAAACGTTGTTCCTTTACGCAATTGGCGGTGATCCCAGAAGCGGAACACGACAACAGCTGCCAGTGGCGGAACCAGCAGAATCATCAATGCCCTCGGACGAGGAAACACGCGGGCGGGTACGACTTGCTCCAATTCCGGAGGATAAGTTTTGCTTACGTGAATCTAGGGTATACGCAGAATTGGATGGGAAGTTGTAAAATTTTCGGGGATAGACGTATCAACCAGAAACGTTGTTGAATTGACATGACATTTCACGGATGATGATGATGACGACGACGAAGATGATTGCTGAATCGATAAATTAATTTTATGGAAATTGATTAAAATATATATTCAAATTAGATCGAATATTTATATTGATTACATTAAAAATCAAAAGTTAATAATATAACAATTCTGTAAATATGTAACTCAAATTATATATATATATATATATATATATATATATATATATATATATATATATATATATACTAATATTAATAATATATACACACTAATATTAATTATTTATCTTGATGCTTGATTCTTTCATAACTACACTGTAAATAAACCTTTTAAATTTTGAGTAAACTATCTTATAAAAAGGATTAGTTTCTTATTGTAATTAGCACAATTAATAATTATTTTAAGATAAATTGATTAGGACAGATAATTTAAATTGAAAGAACTACTAATTATTTATATGTTTTTGTCACTTATAGGATCAAAATATTTAGATAATTGACTTATTAGTAATTTTAATCAAAATAATATAAAGTGATAACATAACTATTTACCAATGCCTAAAAAGTGATTCTTCATTGAACTATTATGAACACACTTTTATCGCAAAACAAAAAGATTACTTCATTCAATCAAAACATCATGCATTACAAGATCTACATGTCATGAGACATGATTGTCATCGATATTCTAAAAGATATTAAACCAAAGTTATCTTCAATTTTATTTTACCAACTTCATAGCTAAAATTGATTGATTATAGATAACCCTTTTGCTTGCAGCATTCAACTGCATCCTCAAACATGTCCTCCACACTATACTTGAACTCAAAACCAGCATCCACTAGTTTCTTGGAGATTAAATGTGGAAACTTGGCACCTTTAATTTCCTTCAACTCACTGAAGGAAGAAAACAAAGTAAATATAAGTTATTCAATGATGTCAAAATGAAATACTATACAAGGTTTAAAAATTGTTTCAATAATGCAGTGATTTTCACTGTAATTTTAAGATTTTTGGAATCATTGTGACCATAATTGCAGCCAATGCGTTTGGAATGTTAAGAAATGTGATGAAACGGTAACTGGGTCTGGTTTTATAAATTTATCAAAAAATTCTACAAAAAGAAGGAGCACAGAAACTCACTCTACTGATGGTATTTTATATTCAGGGTATTTGGCTGAAAGAAGTTCAGAAATCTCTTCAATTGGTACAACGAATGGTGAAACATTATATCTCCCTTTGGGATTGGGATGCTCTAGCAGGAAGATATGTGCTCTAGCCAAATCATCCACATGTAACATATGGAATCTAGTCACACCAATATCTTCCTTTTTACCTGCATCATCAATTCCATTTTACTATGAATTTATTTTCAACTTGAAATGATATAAATCAAACTCAAATTGAGAACATGAAAAATAAAATGGAAGAACAAAGAGAGTAGAATAAGGTGCAGCAGCTGTACCAAACACCAACACCAGTGCTCTTTCAACAGAGTCAGGAAGCTTGGGACAAATGAAAGGTCCAACAACAAAGGGAGGAACAAGACTCACAACATCCAATCCATTTTGTTCTCCAAATTCAAGCACTGCCTTCTCTGTCAAAACTTTTGAAACTGCATATGACCAACCAAATGGCTTCACACTCCTAAGCAAATCCACATCACTCCAAGCACTCTCATCCACTACATCTTGCCGCTCTGGGCCAGAGAAGGAAACAGTGGAGGCACTAGAAGTGTAGACAACCCTTTTCACTGTCTTTGATTTCACAGCTGCTCTCAGTATGCCTAGTGCACCATTAATGGTTCTTTTGGTCACCACTTCCTCTGGCTCGTTCACTGCAAAATCAATCGGGGTGGCAGTGTGAAAAATCCCAACACACCCTTCTACTGCAAGACCAAAACTTTCTGGGTCACTAAGATCAGCATCGAACATTTGTAGCTTTTCAGATGCACCAGGTAGATTTGTGAGGAAGCTAACATCTCTATTGCCTCCTGTTAATGCCAAAACAGAACATAAATAAATACAACTTTGTCCAATAACTGGTATAGTCCATAAACATACAAAACTTTGATTTTCTCTAATCGCTTCTGGAATTTGAATTTGGAATTTCATTTCCTTATAATAGTTGTCAAGGTTATTTACCTGGATTGGATCTTATGGTGGTATTAACAGAATATCCATATTCAAGGAGTGACTTGATGATCCATGAACCAATGAACCCTGTGCCTCCTGTGACACAAACTCTACATTTTTCCTCTGTCATTTGAATACTCTTCCTCTGTCAAATTATACTACTTTTCTTCTGCTTGCTGTTTGTGTGTGTGTGTTAAGAGTAACAACATATATAACAATGTTAATAGCAAATTGATATGTCTCATTACTTTCAGTTTCTATTTGTTTTATCATAGCATGATGAACTAGCCACTATCTGATAAAATAGGAAAGCATTGCTTATGTATTAATAAAATCTTATGAATTGACGTAATATATTTAAATCATAATATATGAATAGTAAAAACCAATATTTTAATTGACACTGAAAGTCATAAAAAAAGAGAAAACTTTTCTTTTTCTCAAAACATCTTCTGATGAGACAAAATTTTAAATATATTTTTAATTCCTGTAATAAGCAAGCTTTTATTTTGGCCTCTGCGGGTTTTTTTTTTTTTTTCCAATTCCTTCAAACGTTAAAATTGCTACTTTTGATCTTAAAATTCGTTTTAATGTTGATAAATAACATTTACTTTGGAAATTCTATTTTTTAGATTACTATTGCTAATATTGTATAACTGGTAAATTTCATTAAAATCGAACCAATCTTTTTAAAAAATTAAAAATTTAATTTAAAAAATTAAGAATATTTTTTTAAAATGTTTAGGTTTATTATTTTGTTAATAAAAAATTTTGTTTGATTTGAAAACTAAAAATCAATTAAAAAGTTTATTGTTTTGAAATGTAACGATATTTAAAATTAATTATTAATTAATAAACATACTTAACTATAATTTTTTTTATGATTACATTATATTATATTGTATTAATAATATATTTTATATTTATAAAAAATGATGATAAATTTGTATTATATTTTAAATATAAGATTGTATAATTATTATTTATAAGTATAAAAAATAATTTGTCTTTATTTGATAATTTTTTACTATAAAATATTTAATAATTTTTTATAAAAAATACTTAACCATCTTATAATAAAAAAATTCATAAACTGATTCAATAAGAGTCTTAAAATACTAGATTAATTTGTTTCCACTTAATAATTAAAATCAAATTAAACTTAACTATGTTTAATTTTTATATTTAGTTGAATTAAACAGCCATCGTATTAAATAAACCGCAAAAGCTTCTAAAAATAAATATATGAATGTAATGAAAAAATAAGAAGTAGAAGCAAATTTTTTATATATTTCTAAAAGTAAAAACCAAATTTTAATATAAATAAAATCAAAAGTACTAATTAATAAAATTAAAAATATATTTTAATATATTTTGTAAAATATATTTAAATCTAACTGAAAAAGAAAGAAAATTATATGTATGACCCAGTCACACAATAAAAATTATATTATATGGTTGCATGAGGAAGTGTAAAATTATTTGGTGTTGCCTTCAACTTTTTTATTTTTGTCTTTTTTCTGGGTTTATTATTATATTATATACTTGTTCTGAAAGAATAAAACCAAAGTCCAATTTGTACAACTCCAGAATATTAGCATGTTGATGTAGATATTTCAGCCATAAAAATATTTTCAATTCCGTGACAATTGTGACAAACTGTTGACCCGCAAAAAAGAAGTATCTAGATGTGGATAAAAAAAATATTATATCCGAAGTTTCCTATTTAAATATATGTTAATATATTATTTTATTATTTATATTTATTATTTTACATATATGATAGAAACTCAATTCATTATTATGGAATTATTTACTTTAAAATATATTACAAATAGAACTTAATCTAAACTTTATATTATAAGTCAAGAATTTCAATAAAGTGAATCGACGACAACCATGCCTCCATCATACAAAAAATATCATATACTTGAACGGTCCAATTTTTCCTATTAAATCCATCTTGGGGAAGGTTTTTTCTTCATAATTCCAATCTTAATTAAACCATGCCAATTTTAACTTCTCTTCTCCTCTTACTCTCTCATCACAATTTTACATATGTGCAATTTTTTAGGGTAAATGGTGCGTCATTGATATTTGGTTTACACTGAACTTTTGTCATTTAATGGAATCAAGTAATTGACTGAATACAAATTATAAACCTTTTTTTTTTATGATAATCAATTGGTTACATATTGATTTGGTCATATATCTGCCACATTTGTTCTTCTAATTTATAAAAGAATAAAAGATAAACAAATATAAATACAATAACATTTTATTCTCTATATATTTTAGTCTCAATTAAGACTTAAATATTAGAATTGGTTATGAGTTTCTATTTACAGAGAGTCTCTTCTTCATCTGATAAATAGTTAGAAGAGATTTTCTCTGATAAAATAAGTTAACAATATATTTTGACAGATTTGTAGTTTATAATTTTGTATAAGTTTTTAACTAATAAAGAAGTCCATCTTTCATAAAATATATGCTGTAATCCTAAAAAAATATTCAAAGAAATAAGATCTACATCATATTAACAAGTGAATGTTTATTATTATATGATATGAAAGCAAATACAAATCCATGATTTATATTTAAGATGAAAATATTGTAAAAAACTTCCATTTTGATTTTACATCCAAAATGTGAATCAATCCAAGATTTTAAAAGTCAAACTAAACATGAACTAAGACTAATAGCATTCAAAACAAAAATTAAAGCTCTACAAGTGAGTTTGGTAGGTGACAGAGTTGTTCAAAATTGCAGAAAAGAAAGACTTGTCTCCAAGAGTAATTTTTTCTTGATTACTCTATTTGTGAACTCTAGATGTACCTATCTTGTCTCTTTGAATGAAGAAAACAGAACAACTTAAAGTGAATTTTCATTCAACGATGCTATGTTTGACTGAAGGAATATTCAATACATCGTTCACCTTTGTTGATAGCAAAAGCTACCAACCTACATTGCTATGCTGCTATTTATATACACACCCAGAGAAAGCAAAAAATGTATACTAGTTGAGGAGTACACAACACAAAGAAAAGTAAACAGGGAGTATTCAATGGCAGAGGGAAAAGGCACAGTTTGTGTCACTGGAGGCACAGGGTTCATTGCTTCATGGATCATCAAGTCACTCCTTGAACATGGATATTCTGTAAATACCACTATTAGATCTGACCCAGGTAAGTAATTAAAGCCTTATTGTTATCAGAAAGAAAAAAAAAACATAGATACTGTTTCATTATGTTTTTACTTTTCTTCTTTGATGAGAACTGAAGTTATACCTCAATAATCTATATTGATCATGAATCTAAATTTTTATATTGTAAGTTACAAACAACAGTATTCACATTTTGTTGTTGTTTCTCAGAGTTTCCCCTCTATAGCTTGTAACTAATACCAGCTTTTAATGAACTTCAAAATCATGATGACATATATTAATTAGTATGAGAATGAATGTGTTTGTTTCTTTGTTTCAAAAGATCCAACTTACTTTCTTTTTCTGTTACTTTCAACTGTGCTGAGATTTGTACAAACTATAAAAAAACACAGACTATAGTAGTTAATGTTAGACAAGGTTATATATATATGTTCTGTTTTGACATGAACAGGACGCAAAAGGGATGTTAGCTTCCTCACAAATCTACCCGGGGCATCTGCAAAGCTACATATTTTCAACGCTGATCTGAGCGACCCAGAGAGTTTTGGTCCTGCAGTAGCAGGGTGTGTTGGGATTTTCCACACTGCCACCCCAATTGATTTTGCAGTGAACGAGCCAGAGGAAGTGGTGACCAAAAGGACCATCGAAGGAGCACTAGGCATACTGAAAGCAGCTGTGAAATCAAAGACAGTGAAGAGGGTTGTCTACACTTCTAGTGCCTCCACTGTTTCCTTCACCGGCCCAGAGCCGCAAGATGTGGTGGATGAGAGTGCTTGGAGTGATGTGGATTTGCTTAGGAACTTGAAGCCTTTTAGTTGGTCATATACAGTTTCAAAGGTGTTGACAGAGAAGGCAATGCTTGAATTCGGTGAACAAAATGGCTTGGAAGTTGTGAGTCTTGTTCCCCCCTTTGTTGTTGGACGTTTCGTTTGTCCCAAGCTTCCTGACTCTGTTGAAAGAGCACTGATTTTGGTGTTTGGTACAGTTGCTGCACCTTATTCTACTCTCCTTGTTCTTCCATTCTACTTTTCATGTTCTCAAATTGAGTTTGATTTATATAATACCAAGGTCAACTATGACACCTTTTGACAAGATTAAAAGTTATATATTTCAAGTTGCAAGCAAATTCTTAGCAAAATGGAATTGATGATGCAGGCAAAAAGCGAGATATTGGTGTGACTCGTTTCCATATGGTGCATGTGGATGATTTGGCTAGAGCACATATCTTTCTGCTAGAGCATCCTAATCCCAAAGGGAGATATAATTGTTCACCCTTCATTGTACCTATTGAAGAGATTGGTGAAATTATTTCAACCAAATATCCAGAATATCAGATACCAACAGTAGAGTAAGTTCTTTTTCCTCATTGTAAAATGCTTTGTTAAATCTATATGCAGTATCAGTCACAGTTTCTAACATTAAAATCCACGTAGACCAAAAATCTAAAAGTTGGTATCACAATTATCTAGCATCTGATTTTGTATTCATTGTATAAATAACTAATAATGATTTGTTTTGTTTCTTCAGAGAGCTGAAGGAAATTGAAGGTGTGAAGTTGCCACATTTAACCTCTCAGAAACTGGTGGATGCTGGTTTTGAGTTCAAGTACAGTGTGGAGGACATGTTTACTGATGCAATTGAATGTTGCAAGGAACATGATTATCTTTAAATAATTTCGGTCATCAAGTTGACATAATAAAATCAATAATTGTCGGAGGCATGTTGTTATTCAGAATAAATCAATGAAGGAAATAGTAATCTTTTTGGTTTGTCCAAATTCAGAACCGTTAAGTTTTTTATTTTATTTTATTTAATTACAATTTTTTTTTTCATTTTCTTTCGACATGTGAAATTCTTCCGTATCAAAGTCATATTGGAGCGATAAAAAATAATTAATTTGCGATTAGTGGACTAAATATATTGTAGAAAAATAATAATAATTTAAGAACATGTTATCAATCATGTATGTTAACCAATTATTGTGAGATTATTTTAACACAATCAAATACTTTTAGCATGTGATTCCATTAAATAACTGGAAAAAAAAATTATAGTCAACAATGATCTTACCTAATTGAACAACTACTCTCTATTAAATAATAATAATAATAATAATAATAATAAACAATTTTCTATTGAAAGTTACGTTAATATATATAAAAACCTACACTAAAGTACACTCTTTCCTTTGTTTGTTTTTATAAAAATTAAATTAGAAGTTTGATTTGGTATTTCATAAAAAATAATCAATGGTGTTTATTGTATTTACAAGACAATTATGCAACTCAACTAATATTAAAAAAAACCATATATATATATATATATATATATATATATATAATATTCACGATTTTCAACACATTTATAACTTAACTTTTATAAATACAATAATTGAATTCCAAAGATTTCATATAAATGAATCATAGAACAATTTTTTCATCTTAAATCAATAAAACAAATTAAAATCATCCTTCAAATTGAAAGTTATGATTATTTCGAAAGAACAAATTTTAATAATTATTTTAAGAAAAATCTAAGACAAAATTTAATAAAATAATATAAACACTGACTAATAAAAGTGGTAAAATCCCATCACTACATACTTAAAAGAAATTAGTTTTACACTATATAATAAAATAAGGAAAAAGAAAAAAAGGACTTATAATAAATTTGAAGTCAATTTCTTCATTAAAATAATTTGGTAGTATTATTGTTTTGACGTATGTTTATAATTTTTTTTAGAAAAAGTAATTTTTTGTTTTAAAAAAATAATTGCTTAATTTTAAAATTTCTCTATGGAAATTAATAAAAACAAGTAAGTATTTCTTCAAATTAAATTGAATAAAAAGCACTAATAATTTAAAATGATTTATGTTTATATATATTTCAAAATTATTACATCATTCCATTAAAAACATATATACTTTTTTGTGAAGAATGTGATAGGTAAAAGAGATGAAGAAAAAGGACGAAGAAATATAAATGAAAAAAAGAGGGTATTATTAGTGATTTGATAAAGTAAAAATATGTGTATGGGAGGTTCAATTGGAAAAAGTTTTGTGATTGATAAAAGGAAATTTTTGGAGAAATGTGTTGTGATTGAATGGAAAAATAGATTTAAAAGAATAGAAAAAAAATGAGAAAGAGAGTAGAAGGTGAAGTTAAGAAAAGAGTGAAAATGGATGGAAAGTTAAGTAAATTTATTTATTATTAATAATTTTTTATTAATTTAATATATTTTTTAATATAATTTTTGTCAATTATTTATTATTATAATAAAAGAATATATTATTAAAATATTTTGTACATAATTGATTATCTTCAAAAATTTTAACTTTCTTCGCTTACCTGCAAAAATGAATTTTTGTCTTGATTTCATAATTTTTTACATTGAAATGCATGAAATTATCAGATTTTGGCGTTGTTATGTTTTTTTCGGTTGAAATGCATAAAATTATCGGATTTTAGCATCGTCGTGTTTTTGTTATTGGAAACAACGCAGATTAAGTACCCATTTGGTAATATAGATTAAAATTATTTTTAAAAAATTATGACACAATTTTTATAAATGAATTTATGCATAAAAAAAATTTAAATATATAAAAATTCACTTAATTTTCCTTTTTTTATTTTGTTATGATACAAAATTATCCTACCTAAACTTAAAAAGTTTTGCATAGGAAGACCAAAATAATGATGCTATTCAAAACTCGTTATATACACTTTTAATCACAATATAAAACAGTAGTTGATTTCCTAAAACAAAATAGTTCCTTAAAATGATTATAAAAAATTGTTGAATAATTAACATTTTTAGTTGTGAAGTAATTAATGTACATTTTAATTTGACACTAGAAGCAAAAAGTTCGAGTGAAATTAATTAATTTTGTATGTGTGTGTCAATTTGACAATTTCATATTTTTAAATGTCTGTTTCTTCTAGAAAGGATGGATTTTCAAGATCACATTTTGTTTAAAATATTGTAATCCCTGAATAAAAAATATTATCTCGTTTGTCACAAGAATGCTATCTCCACCCAGAATTAATTAAAAAGCCGCCATAGAGGGCGTGCTTGGTTTTTCGCTCAGATGCTTTGAAAAACTGTTCAATTCAATGACCTTTACACCCATGAAACGTATGCCAACTGACAACCCAATGAAAGAAAAATGTTTTTAATCTTTTAATATTATTTTATCATATTCAAATTAATATTCAGCAACTATTTTTTTCTTGTTATAAAATAATAAAAACTAAATTGATATATTTTGTAAGACTAGATGGCTAAATTTATAAATTTAAAATTAAAAAGAAATATTATTAGCAAATACAGAAATAAAAATACGTTTTTCTTTTCTTACCAAATTAAATTAATACTATTAGCAACAAAAATTAACCCTTACAAATATTTTTGTTTGTTGCTGGATGCCGGTTCCTCTCAATCATTTAACTTAAAATAAAAAAGTTTAGTCAAAATTTCTTGTTTGAAAGAATTACAACCGTAGGAAAGTAACACAATCAACCAAATTATACATATACATACCATCAACACTAGAAATAGTGGAAACTAGAAATAGAGGAAAATAAAAAGAGCAGGAAAACTGTGAGTGTACAAATGGAAGAGGGAAAAGGAAGAGTTTGTGTAACTGGAGGCACAGGGTTTATTGGGTCATGGATCATCAAGAGATTACTTGAGGAAGGTTACAGTGTCAATACCACTGTTAGATATGATCCAGGTAATCTTTTATATTTCAAAAAAATTAGAAACTCTATTCAAATGTTGCTTGATGTTATTCTAAAGAGGGTATAAGAAATTATTTGAGCAAACTTCCTTTAGCTATTGTCGGTGGGTCTATTTATTATTCTGATAGTAAGAGGAGTTATTGATCCTGATATGTCCTTGCATTTTATGTTATGATGATGATTTAGTTATGAAGGTGTGTACCTAAAATTGTCAACAATGATTTTGTATTTAACAGATGGCAAGAGAGATATCAGCTTCCTGACAAATCTTCCACGTGCAGCCGAAAAGTTAAAGTTTTTCAATGCTGATCTGAGTAATCCAGAGAGTTTCATTGAAGCAATTGAAGGGTGCTCTGGGGTGCTCCACACTGCCTCTCCAATGGACATAAAATTGAGCGAACCAGAGGAAGTGATGACCAAAAGAAGCATTGATGGAGCATTAGGCATTCTGAAAGCATGCCTGAACTCAAAGACAGTGAAGAGGGTTGTGTACACTTCCAGTGCTTCTGCTGTTTATTGGCAAGACAAAGATGATGATGTGATGGATGAGAGTTATTGGAGTGATGAAAATCTTCTTAGAGATTTGAAGCCCTTTGCTTGGTCATATTCAATTTCAAAGACAATGGCAGAGAAGGCAGTTCTTGAGTTTGGAGAAAAACATGGGTTGGATGTTGTCACTCTCATTCCTACTTTTGTTCTTGGACCCTTCATCTGTCCTAAGCTACCTGGCTCTGTTTATACCACTTTGGCTTTCTTATTTGGTAAGTGCTGCTACTTTTACTTTTGTAAGAACCCCTTTTGAAAATTCTTTGTTCATCAATTTTGACTAGTGATATGTTGAAATTTGAATTGTTGATCAGTTACATACAGCATTGCCACTTTCTGTTTATCTTAGCAATAATGCGTAACATTGGCACAACACAACAACAAAGTTCCTTGATAAGATTCTTGATATACCCCAATGAATTATGCAGGTGAGAAGAATCCATTTGGTGCCTCTCGTCTTCACATGGTGCATGTTGATGATATTGCTCGAGCACATATATTCCTGCTTGAGCATCCTAATCCAAAAGGGAGATATAATTGCTCACCATTCATTGCAACTGTGGAGGAAATAGCAGAACTTCTTTCAGCCAAATACTCAAATTTTCACATATCAATAGAGTGAGTTCTATTATTGTCCTTCTCCATGAAAGTTATTTCTTAAATTTAGAACAAACATTTGATTTTGGTTTGTTCTTGTAGCGAGGTGAAGAGATTTCACGATGTCAAGCTTCCACATTTAACATCGAAGAAACTTATGGATGCTGGATTTGAGTTCAAGCATAGCATGGAGGAAATGTTTGTTGATGCAATTGAATGCTGCAAAGAAAAGGGTCATTTATGAACCATGATAAAAAAACTCTGGTTTTCACTAAATGCATTCACTTCAGCCTTGTGTTTCAATAGCTGTATTAAATTAAAAACTTTGGTTTTTATATGATTAAATATATATAACACAAATTTGTACTTCGATGTTTGAATCAATAAAAGCCTTTCTATCTCCTTAAAAACATAATTAAATTTATGTCATTAACTTTTTTATTTCTTCAATTAACTTCTGTCAAAAAAATTTTGCATAATTTGTATTGTGACGAGCTTAATGTTGACTTACAAAGTAAAAATTAATACATTTCAAAAATGCAAGTTTTAAGAAAAAATTACAACAGTAATATATAAATAATAAGGGTTTGTTTGATTTAATTTTGTTTTATAGTTTTCAAAAATAATTTTGGAAATCAGTTTTCAAAAATTATTTCTGAAAACAAGTTAAAAAAATTGTTTAGTAATTTTAATTTTAAAAATTATTCTAAAACGAAAGAGAATGATGTAAATAATCATAACAAATCTTAACGAAAATTAAAAAAATAATTATAGTAATTTTATGACGAAAAAATTAAGTGATTTGATATAAAAACATTGAAATTCATTAATGAAACGAGAAACTAAACCAAGAAATATCTTCATTTTGATTTTTTTTTTTAGTTTTTAAAAATTAAAAGAAAATAATTTTAAAAAAATTAAGTTACTAAAGAAGTTTTTTAATTTTTAGAAATATTAAATAAACACGCCTTAAACTCTCAATTATGATGTTTTCTCGATTCTTTTTTAATTATTTTAAATATTTATCATCTATAAATTAAAATTTATATTAATTATTTTTACCTATATTTTTATTTTTTTAATTATATTATTATAAAAAATAAGATAGTAAGTTATTAAAAATTATTTTCAATGAAAAAATTAAAATGATAAAAATACATTAAAAATAAAATATTGAATAAAAATAATAAATATTTAAAAACTAAGAGAGTAATTAATTATACCCTTAAGTTGTAATAATAAAAAGTGAAATAAATAGTTTATGATTAAAGAAATAAAATTTAGCCATTAAATACAGTAATTAAACATTTAACCGTTAAATATATTAATTAAACATTTAACCGTTAAATATATTAATTAAACATTTAACCGTTAAATATTCTTGGTTTTTGAAGATAATGACTTCAGTTTGATTGTCACTGTGTTAACGTGTGTTTGGATTAGTTCAATTAAGAGAGAGAAAAAAAGAGAATAATGAAATTCTATGCATTTGATCGAGTAAAAAAGAAAATAAATAATGGCAGAAAATTTAATTGGTCCACTATAACATATTTGTCCCGTGTGAGTGTTATATAAATATTGTAAAATATATATTAGGATTTACACACCTCATGACACTTATCATTTTAGAACATATTATATATTTTTTAAAGCACATCACAACAAATTATTTTATTAAAATCTAAAAGAAAATTATTATATTTACTTTCATGAAGATAAATTTCATTGAATTATTTTTTTAACATTAATTTTGATCAATTTTACGTAGTATTTTAGCATAATATAAATATTATATCCATAAAAAAAAATCTCACCCGAACTCCTACAAATATTATAGCATAAAATTTTCTGATTTTTATTTATTTTCCTAGTTATTATTAAACTTTTCTTTCAAAAATTACACACAATCCTAGCTACTATATTAAAGATTATATAAACATTATATTTTTTTAATATCCATGAGTATCATAATTTTGATCATATTAATATAAGAGCAATAAAAGTAAATACTAATACATCAAATACAATAGTATAAGTAAACATGAAATTAGAATTAATAATCTATTAAAAATAATCTATTTTTATTTTTTATATGCAAAATTTATATTTTCATTACTTTTCATTAATTATAATTTTGTTTTTTTTAAGTTATTTCAAATTTATATAAAAAAAGTTTTTTCAATATTTTTCAAGATTATAATTTGTAAATATTTTTTAATTCAAATTAAAAATGAATCATATTTTTTTATAATCTAATAAATCAATCCTTTTATATTTTTAAAATATAGAAAATTTTCTAAATCAGAATAGTTTAAAAAAAATTAGTTTCAACACTGTAGTCAATATAATAAAGATAAAAAGTATATCCATATTATGCGTTTATGTTAGCACGAAAATGAGTTGTATGCTACTGAACGCATAATGTGCAAATCCACCGTTCACTAAGAATCCACGTGTAAAACTGCAAACACTTACACACACTTAAAACCCTTCTTCTTGTTTTTTTTTTTTTTCTCTTCTTCATCTTCACCTTCACTCTGAAATGGATCCTGCGTTACCCATCGTAGCTCTTTCACTCGTGTTGGGTGCAATCATCGCCTTTCTCTTCTTCAACTCCTACTTCCGGAAGCGCCAATCCGAAGTCCGATCCATCGCCAATCCCGATCCCAATCTCAATCCCACTCCCAATCGTATCTCCAAACCCCTTCCCAAGAAGCCTCTCTCCAAACCCCATTCCTCCGACAAGGTCGCTTCCATTTCTTATCTCCTTAATTACCGTGTTGTGTTCAATTTGGTTCTCAAAATGTGGTTCGTTTTATGGGTTTAGGATCAAAACAAGCGACACCATCCGCTGGATTTGAATACCTTGAAGGGCCATGGTGATGCGGTGACAGGGATATGCTTCTCCCACGATGGACGCAATTTGGCAACAGGTGTAATACGGTTCCTTTTAAAGATGAATTCGTCAATTTTCGTTGCCATGCTTAGTTCACTTCTTTTGTGCCTCTTATTTTCCCCTGCTGTAAGATCTGTGTTTTCTTTGTTCTGTTTTTGTCTGTCCACTATGTCTCAGAGATCACACAATGTTATCAAAATACAGTATATAAGTGGAGAATAATTATTACCTACAAGTCAGTTTTTTACAAGTTTTGTAGGGATTAGTGAGTGACTATTTAAATTTCCCCATAAGCACATATAAAAGGAAAAGAAAAAAAGAAAAAGGAAAAAAATTGAAATTAGCTTCTCCATAAGCTTATGCATGAGCAAATATACAAATTTGTATAACCTCTCTCGTATAATCATTTTTATTAACTTGTATAAATTTGTGTATAAGTTAAGTTTAGCTTATGGAAAAACTCATTTAATTTTTATCTTCTTATTTTATCTCTTAGGGAAGCTCATTCCCCTTAGACTTATTCACATGTTTTAAGACTCTTTGAGTAAATAGTAGTTATGAAGTGGTTGATAAGTATGTACGGGTGACAATTGGATTTGGACCTAGTGGGCAATGAATATGATAGCAATGGGAAGGGGAATTACTCTTTAAAATGGCAGGGTTAGGATATTTGCTTGCAAAAGTTTATTGAATGCTTGTGGGTTCAGGTACTCTAGTGTTCAATCTTCTTAAATTGGACATTTCTCTTGTCGAAACTCTAATGTATTATCCTAACTTGTTGTCTTATGTTTCATAACTCTGTTTATTATACTCTGTCAAAACATTACATTATGTTTTGTAATTACTTTTATTTGTTGGATTTGAATTTAGTGAAATTAATATATGAAGAAAATGTGGATATTTTTTAACTGAGATAGATGTTAAATTTTTAATTATTGCTATTAGTTTTTGTTAATTTTGTTTCATATTGATATTGGTTGTATAGTATTTTTACTTTACTAGATTGTCAAAAGGAAGATACATGAAAAATGAAAACATATTTCATTTAACGAAATGGCATGGGTGTGTTTAGGTATGAGTATACAGATATGCATAGGATATGGGTATGGTTACTAAATTTGCTGTTTACATGGAAGTATGGATCTGAGGACAAATATTTCCATTCCCATGAATCTATGTGTGCATCAATAAAAAATTCTTGTTATACTTGTTTACTACGACAAAGAAAAGCCTATCTTGACCTCATTGTGGATATGTTCGTTATTCTGAATTTTTTGTTAAACAAGAAACTTCATTAGTCGATGAGAGAAAATAATACAAGGTGGACAATATATTACCTGTCAAAATAAAGAAACCAAAACCAAAAGACAAAGATGGCTGTAAAACACTACAGACTTGATCAGTCTTTCTGCATAAAAAGATCTATATGTACTTAAAATGCCATGAATTGAGCTGTCATAAACTTAATTTTTTCCCATAGGCCACGACATATTTAAGAGACAAATGTAAATCATTGAAGTTGTGGAAAAACCTCTCCAGTCAATGACACGAAGAAACTGCAAAAATAGTGCTCAGCGTTTACAGCCTCCTTCTTGATGTTCCTTAATGTCTCAAAGTGATCACACGTGTGGGCTTGTACTTTTCAAGCATTACTCTTGTTTCCTTCCTCTGTAGATTTCTTTCACTTAAGATTCCTACCTGTTCAAATTTTTTTTTTTTTTTGCACTTGTACAAGCAATTAACCATTGTATGAATTTTTTTTCTTACTTTTATAATGTCTGTTCAAACAGCTTGCGCTGATGGAGTTGTGAGAGTGTTTAAGTTGGATGATGCTTCAAGTAAAAGTTTCAAGTATGTGAATTTCAAGACCTTGTTGAATCATGCATATAAAATCAATGTCAATCATATCTCATGCATAAATTTAATTCTCTCAACTCTTTTGTAGGTTTCTAAGGATTAATTTACCTGCCGGTGGTCATCCAACAGCAGTTGTGTTTTCTGATGATGCATCCTCCATTGTTGTGTCATCTTATACTCTCTCTGGTTGTTCATTATATATGTATGGAGAAGGGAAACCTATATCTTCAGAAAATAAACCACAGACAAAGCTTCCTCTCCCAGAAATTAAGTGGGAGCATCACAAAGTTCATGATAAAAAGTCAATATTGACAATGTTTGGAGCCTCTGCAACTTATGGCAGTGCTGATGGAAGTACAATTATTGCCTCTTGTTCAGAAGGTATCTTTACAACATCATTTACCATTAGTATAAAGAAAGTGTTCTTTCTGTCCATCCTAATTTATTTTTATATTCAGGGTCTTCTTACCTAATAATATGCTGCAATTATGAAAGAAATTTCAATTTTGATTAGAAGTAGCTTGTGGGAAAATAAATGCTTGTATGGGGAAGGGTTCACAAAGTGATTTAAGTAGAGTATACATTTCTGTTTATGTTGCCTTTTCTTCTCTAGACCTACATATTCATTTGACCACTAAATACTGCTAAGGTATCAGCTTACATCACCTAGGCACTTCCGAGTAAGAAAAATTGAATTATTAACTAAAAATTTGATGTGGCATCAGATTTGTGCTTCTCATCAATTCAATGCACTGTGTCATACTTTTATTTCAAATTGCTAATGAAATTATTGCTAGTAGTGTCTTTATGCTGAAATTTAATACTTGATGTTGGCTTTCTGTAACCTGTCCTAATTTGATTTCTAATTTAGGAACTGACATCATTCTTTGGCATGGAAAATCTGGGAAGAGTGTTGGGCATGTGGATACAAATCAATTGAAAAATAACATGGCTGGTATATCACCCAATGGTCGTTTTATTGCCGCAGCAGCATTTACTGCAGATGTGAAGGTGAGGTTTAATGTGCAAATCTATTTAATTTATTATGAGTTTCTAATATTTCTTATGTATGCACACACGGAGGTACAACTAGTACTAATAGGTAGCCTTTAAGCTTAGTCTCGTATTCTTACTAGATAGGGTTGAATTCCAGATTTAGCAGTATCATCCCCTTAGAAGCAAGGCTGCGCCCATCATCTGTTTGGTGCTGGCCTTGAGAAATGGCTTGTATTTGTTACAATTCAATTAAAAAAGGGAATAAGCAACCTGGTTAATATGTTAGCCTAGCAAGAGTTATCCTTCATTTTTTTTGTATGTGTTTTTGTCTGAAGTTATGATACAATGCTGCTATAAATATTGCTTGGTGAAGTTTTATATCCAACCAGCTTCCTTGTCCACTGTTCTCTCACCCTCTCTCTCTCTCTCTCTCTCTCTCTCTCTCTCTCTCTCTTCTCTCCACATATATGTATGCGCAGCACCTTTTACTTTTATTTTGTCAATGGTCATTGAACAATTTTAGCCAAATGATTTTTAATATTATGTGACACCAGTGTGGAAAAATGGATATGAGGAAGAAACTTGACTTCAGAGACTCGGTTTAGGTAGAAAAACAAATGTAAAAGATGGGATTGTGAAGAACATTGTCCATAAACCAAAAAGTAGATAAAAAGGGGATGTCATATAATGAAGAGCACTTCCCACCTTGCAAAAAACTTAAGTTATTAGCAAAGGCCCTCTTGACACATTAGACATGCGCACTTCCCTGTCTAAGTCGTGGGTATAGCCACTGGACCCACAAACCCGACAAGCACCTTTGTGGCCCTTTGGGCTTAGTACCATGTGATATAAGGATCAAGATTGCTTCTCAGTGTGACAAAAGCTTAAGCAATTATCACTAAGAGAGCTTAAGCTATTAGCAAAGGCACAGTTATTGAGATAATGCTCTGCACTAGATGTGGATCATTCCTCTTTAAGGTATTAGGAATGGGCCACCGAGTTGAGCCCAACTAACTGACCCAATATGCTCCCTTAGATTCCTTTGGGCTAATACCATGTGATATGGCCAAGAGCATTTACCATCATGACAAAAACTTGAGCTATTAGCACATGTGCTACTCTTAACGTTAACACCTTGCATTACATGCAAGGTTTTCCCTATTTAAGAAATAAGCCCTTGCCATGGGCCACTGGGTTGGCTCAACCCATGGACACAATATGCAACCTTTGGTTTGATACCAATGGATATGATTATGAGTGTGTACTACCATGCCAAAAAGTTTAGCTATTAGTAAAGGCTTAACTCTTGACTTATGACAAGTGAATCAAACCAGACGCCTTCCCTAGCCATTGGGCATGGGTCATTTTATTGAATCTGACCCACAAACCCAACATGTAGCCCTCAAGATTTTGTGTATATTAGGATGACTTTCTTGCATGTGTAGTGAGTTTGTTGGGGGGAAGACTGAAGACCAGGTGATGGAGAAGGAAGAAAATGGATGTTCGAAGTAGGTACTGTTCCTGACATCAGAATACATCATGTTTTTAGGCAGTGCATGGATCCCCTTAGGCAAATATAAAAAATTGATGTTCAATTAAAAATTTAAGATAATTTTCTGTTGAAGTAACGCATTAGATCTCAGCTACGATGCACAGATACAATACGAGTATCGGATACGATACAATGATTCGTATTATATTAAAAAATACAAGATGCACAGATACAATACGAGTATCGGATACGATACAATGATTCGTATTATATTAAAAAATACAAGATACGATATGTGTGTGTGTGTGTGTATATATATATATATAATTCATAAAAGAAAATTATATATAATTATTAAATATTATTTAAATTGAACACATTAAATATATTTTTGAATGTATATATGACTTTAAAAAAATTTAAAAGTAAAATAAAAGTTAACAGTAATTACTTAATGTTTAGAAATAGAAATAGTATCAGTTTCATCTCCTCCTTGAGCATCATCAGTAAATAAAATAGCTTCCATGTCTAGTTCATCAAGGGATAATGTTGCCATTCTTAGGTTTCCAACATCATCAAAGTCATCCCATGCATCTGTGCTAATGTCCCACATTTTAGAGTTCCCTTGGTTATATTGTTCACTTTGTCTAACCAGAAGTCATAAATTAATATGCACATAAACCAAGTCTTCTGCAATTTTAGGATTTAGCTTATTTCTTTTCAATGAGTGAATGAAAGAATAAGTACTCCAATTTATTTCACAACAAGATGACGAGCAAGGTTGTACAAGAAACTTCAATGCTAGCTTTTGAAGTAGAGAGGCATCGGAACCATGCATCACATGTTAGAACACGAAAAAAAAAAGTGGAAAGTTTCACGGTGGAAGACGAAGGGAGCAGAAAAAAAACCCAAAGAGAAACAAGTGCGAGAAAAGATACAAAACAAATCCGTGACGGAGGGAACGAGAGAAAATCAAGGAGAAACAAACAGCAGCAACAACATGAAACTATAAGCTCTCAAAAAAATAAAATACTGGGAAAATGAAATACGTATTTAAATGATTAAATTTTTTTTGATAAATATTTAAATAATTCAAATCCATTTTGATTAATTTAACAATAATAATAACAGAAAAATATTTGTTATTCTGTTTTTATTTTTGTTTGGATTTTTTCGATTCTTTTTCTGATATGAATTTTTATCGGAGTCGGATATGTTGGCCTTTCCACCGTATTAAAGATGAATTTTTATTATATTTTCTGATTGGCAGCTTTTATCAGAATTTTACTGCTTCTGTTTTTAAAGGTTCCTTAATGTGTCTCTCCTTTTTTTCTTGTTTACAATGCTTGGCAGGTCTGGGAGATTGTATATGCAAAGGACGGATCTGCGAAGGAAGTTGTAAATGTTATGCAGCTTAAGGGGCATAAGGTTTATTATTAGTAGCATTATTATTTTAGGTCGATTTAAAATTTCATTTGTCCTCCCATTTATACATATATAGACTTTTCAAGCCAAAAAATTCTAAGATTATTTTCCTTCAGATGCATCGTACTTTTGTTTACATAAAAGGTATATTATAAATTAATTTTTATATATTTTTGATTCAGTAGTCTTTCATTTTCATGTATTACATTTGAATATCTTGGGTCAATGGAAATTTCATGAGTGTAATGTGCATGAACGATATGAAGGCATGCGTGCACTCGTGCACACAAATGTGATTTACAATTTGAACATAAAAGAATAAAGATGATGTTTCCATTATTTCGACTATGATTTATGTGTTTATTACTTGTGTGTCAGAGTGCTGTGACATGGTTATGCTTCACACCAAACTCTGAGCAAATAATCACTGCATCCAAGGATGGTACAATGAGAATATGGAATATCAATGGTGAGCAAATTTTGGAAGATGATTGTTTTTTTTTTTTAATTATAGAATTGGTTTTATTTTTCTAGCAAACTCTTGATGTCGACCTGCAAAATAGTTGTTAAATGTTCTAGACAAGATAGGTGGTCATGCCTTATGTTATTTGTGAAGAATTCAAGTAGCACTTTGATGAGATTCTATAGCTGCAAATGGACATGTTTCTTTTGTGTATGATATTTTATTTGACCTGATAAATGTGCTTGTTATTTGATCAAATAATTATTCTTTCCTCCATGGAGCTTAGCCGAGTAGGGATCCTATCCAAAAAGTTCATGTGTTGTCTTAAGGACTAGGTTGTTAATTAATTCAACTCACCTCACCGCACCTTATTTTCCTTGTATCCTGAAGTTCGTTATCACCTTGATGAGGATCCAAAGATGCTGAAGGTGTTCCCTATTCCTCTTCACGATTCTTCTGGTGCTACTTTGCACTATGACCGCCTTAGTATTTCGCCAGATGGAAAATTTTTGGCTGCGACCCATGGTTCCACATTGCAGTGGTTATGTGTTGAAACTGGAAAGGTTTTGGATACAGCTGAGAAAGCCCATGACAGTATGTCCAAGCATCAACCCTTTTATTTTTCCTTTGCAACATAAAAATCAACTAATTTTCTATCTGTGATCTTCCAGTCGTTGATTGCTTTTTCACTTGCAGGTGACATTTCTTGCATTTCATGGGCTCCTAAACCTATTCCAACGGGTAAAACTGCTAATGTGACTCCATTTTTTTTATGCTTCCACCTAATTTTATTATTCTTGACAATTTCCATTATTGACTCAGATTTTCTGCAAATCTGTTTCATGTATCGTATGTGCTAGTCGGTGTTAGAAGATAATGCAAAATTATCTAGATAACCATTCAAAAAGAATTTGATTTTAAAAATACCAAACATGTTTCTTACTTCTTAGTTGTGATTTTATTTTTGTCTCCATTATCATGCCTTTAAGGTATCTTTGCTAACCAACATGTAATTTTATCATCTTAATTATTATGGTTGTGGTGCTTTTGGCAGGAAATGATCAGGCCTTCGTTTTAGCCACAGCCAGTGCCGACAAGAAAGTAAAGTTGTGGGCATCTCCATCAAACCCTTCATCCTAAACCACTATGCTAGTGCACCAACTGCCATCGTTAGCATGCCTATGCTCTCGCACTGACAACTAATTTACGTTAGAGGGAGATGCTTCAAAAGTTTAGGGACTTGGTCTCTTCATAGTTGGTTCAGTCATTTTACAACTTGATTTGAGCTGCGTGGTATCTTTCGAAAGTTGAATGAGAAACTATGATGAGCTGAAATGATACAAGCCCTTCTGTTGCTGCTTAGACTTGTATCGCTCCGAATTTTTGTGACTAATAATTTAATTTATAGACACAGATAATGTTGTTGGTTTTGGTTTTGGTTGTGCTAGTGAGGTTGACATGAACGATGAGGTGATGCCAGAATAGATTTTTAAGCGTCTTTGGGAGAGAACATAATGGACATGTCGCTAGTGGCTACAGTTTATGTCATTAAAAGAAATCATTTTCATCACAATTATATGAGGCCATTATTCCATCCCATTTTGAAATGGTTGAAATTGGTAAATACTGCAAATTGCAACGAAATGCTCAGCACATTTTAAATTCACACAAGGTTAACAGCGTCTTAACCTTCCCCGTTACCAACTATTTAACCTTCCGCCAGACGGATTTTTTATTTTAAATTTAATAATATTACTAATTCTTAACATAATAATGCCAACGATGAACAATATTACTGTTTTGTTTTTGCTATTTATTTTATTTTATAGGTAAGGTAATTCAAACTAAAATTGATTTATATTTCGCATAAATGACATGATAAAAACTTAACAAGAAAGGCAAATTACAATTAGCTTAGAGTGGTTGATGTTTGACTTATAATTATCGTACTAAATTTAAAATTTAATACGAACACATATTTGTCAGTCGTTACTAATTTTGTTGGACAATAAAAATGCTTTAAAAAGCTGTCTTTTTAAAACATGTTTGTGCATATAAAGTTAGGCTCAGAGTCAATTATATAAAATAGTATAAACTCAGTACCACTACAATTCTATGTATTTATCCTGTAAATCAACTACTACTCCAAGATTAATTGTGTAAATTGTAAACAAACACGCCAAACTTAACCTATAAAAAAAATTTAAACATAAGAAAAATAACGGCATTTGCAAGTTGCTTTATGAGTTACCTTATGAGTTCCATAAATGTAGTCACAATAGGTAAATATTGAGCCAAAGTTGCTTTGACTTTTTTCTCCAACATAGTGATGATAGTCATGGTATGCTGATCCTCCATAAAATGGTATATATTTTGTAGGACTCCAAGGAAAATCATACCTTAACATGTAATAAGACAAATAAGAGTTCAAAACAAAAATTTTGTGTGTTAATGTAAATTTAGGTCAGATACATTAAATAGCAATATATTATTTTGAATTATATTAAAATAATTTATGAGGATTATAGTTTTAATTACTTCTAATTATATTTACCCGCTATGAATCTCAATGGCTTCAAGCTGTCGCAAAATGAACCATAGCCAATAGGTTGTAATGTGGCATGGGATTAGTGCTGGGGCTAAAAATGAGGGGATACCCAATATGATTATCTCGGCCCAATGGGCATAAGGTGCCGAAAGCCCAATTGGTGCTGAATATTCATGATGAACCTTGTGGATCTTCTCATAGGCCCATTTGCAATGGAACAACCTATGAACCCAATAACTCAAATAATCTTCTATGATAAAGTAAACTAACAGCTGCCAGAATAATTCCCAGCCTGATGGCAACGGCAAACCCGTTCTGATCCCAATCCACTGAAAAAAAAAAAAGTTGTATTCTAAAATTATTTTTTTGTTTTAATTAAATATTAATATATTCAATAAAACAAACTTCAATATAATGTTAGTTTATATAAATTTATTAATTCAGACTGGCCATGATTTATAAAAACCCCCCGCATGATTAGTGGTGTTGATGACTTCACCTTTTAGGTTAACAAAATGTATGAAGTGAAAGCATGTTACACCTTGTGGAACCCAACAAGAACTAACACAACAAGATATTATCGATTAAATCCTAAATTGATTGTATAAAAAAAATATGATATTATTTTTAACTTAAAATTTAAAAATTAAATTATAAATCTGTTTTATTTATAAATTATTCAAGTATAATTTCATTTTATCCTTGAATTTTCACCAACATTTTCGATTATTAGAATTAATTAACCTTTTTAAAATATGTGTATAAAATAATTATAAAAAAAGTTTGAAAAAGACAGTATCCCTACAATTTTTACCTACAATAGTTACTAATCTGTGGTGAAGCAATGGTATAAAAAAACTCAATAATTTAACTTCACTCTGTTATAATCATTGATTTATATTAATAGTGATTAGTATAACAGACTCAGCATAAAAAATCCAACCCAGAAACCAAATTCACCAAGTACACTGAGGCCTGTTCATGTGTTTGAATAATAATAATAATAATCAGAATAATTAATAAGTATAATTAATTATGTGTTTTAAAATTAGTGAGTATTAATTGTGTACAAGGATACTCAAACACATGTTTTCTGAGTACATATTAGATTATCTCCTACAAAGCCTGTGAAAGGATTATCTCAAGTGAAAAAAAAGATTAAAATAATGAAGTATTACTGCAGATCGATGAAGTTGTGATGATTGACATGCAAAACATGATATGAAGATTAGACTCGAAAAGAAAGAAAGAAAAGACGATACCTTTATGGTGGGATAAGAAATGATCTGCAGTGGAGTAACTGCAATGAGAAAGGTGTACATGACATCCTTGTAGCAGTTGAACATTTCCCAGAATGTTCTCTTCACCTTGGGCTGAATCTTGTGTTTGCTTAGGTTCTTGTGTCCACTAAGCTCCATCAACAAGAATGGAAGAGGAGCTGCAGAGTAAAATAAGCACAAGAATAGAGCATTGTGGCAATGAAGCACAAAATCAGATTTGTTGGCAGAGTATTTGAACCAGAGTGTCTCAGCAAGGCTTAGTCCTCTGCCAAGTGCAACTTGTGCTTCTTCAAGGGTGTGGTAAGGAAGCATTGTGAATCTGAGATATGAGACAGAAGAGAGATTGGACTTTATAAAGACAGATTGAGCTTGGCTCATTCCTCAAATGCCACAGCATGATAGGCATGTGTTTCGTATTAATTACTATATCATTGCAGAAGTAATATTAATGAATACTTTCAATGAGAATTTAAATTTTCTTAATTTTTCTTTAAAACATTAATTTATTATGTTTATTCATTAATAACATTGTTACGTTGATTTATTATTTTTAGTGAGATTTTTATTTGTTTATCACATTTTAACATCTTATATTGACATTGTAGTTTCAAACAATGGTACTCATTAGTTTTTTTTAATTCATTAAAAGTTATATAATATAGATTGATTCAGCTTAGTTAAAACAGATTATAAGCTTCTTATAGTTAGAAATTGAATAAAGGGATCCACAGTCATTTATATATATATATATATATATATATATATATATATATATATATATATATATATATATATATATATGTTTTATATATTTTTAAAAAATACACACTTAAAAAATGAATTTTAATTTTTTTACTCATTAATTAATGTCTTTTATTAAATAAATTGAAAAAATATGTATTTATATGTTAAAATACCTAATTATATAATTAATAATTTAAATTTAATTTATTAATATTTATTATTTAAATTATAATATATTATAATAATACAATAAAAAAATTATAATCTATTTTATATTGATTTTAATATTAGATATTTTTTTTAAATATACTAATATATCAACTCAACCTACCTATTTTTATTTTTATCAATGGAATTACAAATTAAACAGACAAGTTAAGCAGAACAAGTTAAAACGAACCAATATGCTAAAACTATTAATTTTATCCACAAATTTAAAGTGAATTAGTGAGTCAGCTTATGAAACCTAGTAGGTTTTATTATTCCAAATTTTAAATTATATTGTAATGAACTTTTAAAGATTTATATTTTTTTCATAAAGAAAATTGTAACATATATACATATCATTTTGGAACATGATTATGATTTATTATAATATTTCTTAATTGTCATTATCATAATATTAAAGGTAGACTTATGGTCTATTTTTAGTTTTTTTTTTAATTTATATTTATATGTAAATCAAGTTCAAAATTCTATTTCATTCTCTTTAAGTAGTCTATCTTTGTTTAGGTTTAGAATTTTATTCTATTTGTTATAATTATTGAGTAGAAATCTTAAGGAGAGGGGAGATACTTCTTTTCTTCAAGTCTTGTATATATTTGATGTTTCTCTTTTGGTTGTTTTTCTCATTATAACTGAATGTCTCTATTCTATGATTAGGGTTTAATTCTTGACTACTATTAATGTTTAATTTATTTCTATTTTGTTATATTGATTTTCCCTCTTAATTTGTTTTCCATCGATTTTATTTATGTGAAACGTTTAACAACTAATTTTTATATTTGGAAACATCTAGAAAGAATCAAGAGAGAATCATAATAGAAGGAGAAACTTAGATATTAAATCATTGGAGGAAGCGTAAAGAAATTGATAGATTTTGTTTTCGGAGAGAACTAGGTTACCTTCAAAAAGAATAAAAAAAATATTTAAAAAATCTATTAGTTTTATTATATCAATAAGAAGTATTTTTGATACTAAAAGTTTCATTATATCAAATTTATCTCAAGTATATTAATTATTGATTTTCTCCGTAAAATCTTTATTTCATCGTCAACGCATTTAATTACTATCCTTTTCTTTTTAATTATATTAAATTTTAATCATTACAAATGCGAAACATCAAATTCTCACTCAACAAAAAATTCTATACTTTTAAATTTTCACATATCATAAACTAATTTTATTTCTACTAATATTTTAGAATATGATTATTACTTTATTTTCATTATACTTTATGATAAAAACCTTATTTGAAGCAGCTAACTAACTTGTATTTAATATTTTCAGTCTCTATACTAACAGCTAGATGTTGAGAGACAATGTATCTTCCATGTGATCGATCCACTTATATTTCACACTTTTGGTCTCTAATTTTATCAATTTAAAACTGGGGATTTTGTACCCTATATTCTATATTTTTATATTTCTAAAAAATTAAATTTGTATTTTATTATTTATTTATTTTTAAATCATTTGAGCTCGAATTTTGAATTTATTATATTTTAAATCTTTTTATAATTTGGTATAATGAAAAATTATTTTTAAATGAAAAATTAAATATATTAAAATATATTATTCCTTTTTACTGAGAGATTCCTAATATGTCTTGGAACAACATGTAGATAAGTCTTTTATAAGGGCACTATATATATATTTTTCGTTTTTCTTCAAACTTGGTTTCTTTTATCAACCCAGGAAAATATATTAATGAAACTATCTATTCACTATATCTTATGCTTTTAATGCAGTGAAAATTGGTGTGATTTGAAAATAAAACATAAAATACGTAGGTTTTGCATTTCTCTTAATATTCATCTTGAACCAGGGAATGAATGCAACATGTTGTAAAAGTGAGAACCCTACGTGTTTCTCCCGTTGAGTGCATGGTCATTGCATGCAGCAATGCAACTATGATGTGTTTGAGACGTAAATTGCAGAGTTTTGGTGTCAAGTGTCGGTGGAGAGAGACAACTTGCACGTGAGTTTTCTATTTAAAATAATCTTTTTCCATGTTGGCAAAAATATGTATTTAGATAGAAAATAAAAGTGTTATAAACTGGTTTTGGATGTAAATACCTAATTTTAATGACTAATTATTTAATATTTAGTTTTTTTAATAGTTATCACTCAAACCTGTAACTCATGTCTTGCTTCACTCAATCAATTATTTGAGTTGTTAATTAGAATTTATCGACTCAGATAATTTGGAATTTAATAGAATGCAAACTAGAAGTCTAGAACAAATAAAGCGGAACTAGATGTGAGCAAATTATTTTAATATTTTAATTGCTTTTTTTATTTTTAGAGTTTAAATTTGATTTTTTTTTCAATTGTTTTATCGTTTAAATTTATGTCTTCACATATCTTTCTCCTGGCCCAACTTAATAATGGAGCCCAAAAAAGGGAAATTTCGAAAAAAATGAGATTAAAATTTGATTTCCCGAAAAGGAGGAACTCCGTCTAAGAAAAACACCGTACGAGGAAGAGATTAAAAAAAAAACGGCATGCAGTGGTGGACGTTATGGCGGAGGTGTTGTATTGGATCTCAACGTTTATCCTCATTTTGACCCTTCTTTGTATCCTCGGCTACCAGGTATTTTCACTATTACATCATATCCATTATTCTCTTTTCTTTTTAATTCAATTTTTATTTATTGTAAAGACCCTCTTTTTGCTTTTTCTTAAGGTTTTTGTTTGTTGTTGCCCTTTGATGATTTTTTTTTGTTCAATAACTGTAATTAAGAAGAAATTTTGCACCTGAGCAACAGTTTCTGGTTTAATCTTCACAATTCAGTTCTTATTGATTTCCCTCTGCTTATTTTTCATAATTAATGTTTCTCATCAATACAACAGTTTTTGAGCATGGATGTTTATGTTTTGAGAAGAAGAAAACGATTGTTTGGTGGGTTTGGTACAATAATTTATTCAGGGCGTGTATGTTTATGTTCTTAAAAATTTAGTTTTGGGTGGAGAGCCTTTCAGATTTTGATGGTAAGTGCTTATCCTAGGCCTTTGTGTAGATTTTAGAACAACTTTCCGGAGGTAAGTCATTCATTTGAAAAAAATATATTAAGTTTTGGAAAGTACGTAGATGTTTGAAAACTAAGCAATATTTTTCTTAAGGTGAGATGAACTAAAGACACACTAAGGACTGCATTGGTAGGAACCTCACCATTTTTATGCTTCATTTCACCCTTTTGTTTTGGCTTTTACCTCGTTTGAAAAGCTTCTTTGTAGTTCTCTTTGAAAAAGATTATTGGTCTTGTTCTTTTTAGTTCAATTTGGAATGTATTTTGGCATTCGAAATGGTTAGGTGTAGCTCTGCAATATCAACATTGTAGATTAGTTCCTAGATTCTTCAAAATTGTTCTCCTATATCTTCCTACTCAAGAAAGATAGTGTAATGTACTGAAAGTAAATATTTTTACCTTACAAATCGACCACCAATTATATTGGTGAAGTTTTAAAACTAAGGTTTTTAAAGTATGAAAAAATAAAATCAGCAACTTTGAGGTAGCGTTATATTAGTATTTGTTTTCCATGTTTTATTAAACTTTATATTGAAGTCTTCGAAGTTGGAACTCGCACCTCAATTGTTGTTTGCTATTCATGAGTGAAAATGAGCAAAACTGCTGCTTACTGTTTATGACAATTTTTGTCAATGGTTGAATTTTTTTTGCAGCTTATATTATTGGTGGACCTGGAGTTTGATTATATCAATCCATATGATTCAACATCTCGGATAAACCAGGTTGTGGTGCCAGAGTTTATTATCCAAGGAATCTTCTGCTTCACCAATCTTATTGCTGGACATTGGTTTATATTCCTCGTATCTCTACCTTTCCTGTATTACGACCTGAGATTGTGAGTTTTCTTTTGCTTTCCTCTCAAAAACTGTGCTTTATTAATTTTGTCTTGTTATAATTGCTGGATGTTATTACATCTATATAAGGTAGGATTAAAGTAAAGGAGCAGATATTGTTTCATATTTTCTGATATTGTAGACCATAAAGATTGGTGAAAAGATAAAGTAGTTATTCTTTAGTTCTTTCACTGAAACATAAATTGGAGCGACAAAGAAAAGGGCCTACATGGCATCATTTAAATTGTAATTGAATCAATTTTATCACAAAAATTTTGCTTTGAAGCTCACGTACCCTGACTTTGATGTTCTTTAATATCATTGAATTTGTTTCAGTAAGCTTCTCAATCTTGTTATTGGGAGAACTTGTGTTTACTTAGTAGTTGAAAATGTTGGACACTTGAAGCTATACTCAATAAAATGGAATGAATACGTTTCACTGATTTTGGTTTAAAACATTGTGATTTGATTGCTCACAAACCTCAACGACTAAAATGGTAGAATGAAATGTATAGAGACTTTTTGAGCTGACATTTGCAAAAGGAGGGATAACCTTGAAACTGTTGAACAAACACTTAGGAAGACAGGAGTTTTGGCACACATTATGATGAAACAAGAAGACTGTCATCTAATAAGTTGCAAGACATGATTACAAACTAAAAAAATTAAGGACTATCAAAATTTGACTTATCTAGTTCAAACTGCATTGCACTTTAGATAATGTTAGAACCTGAAACACTTTTGAGATTGAAATTTAATCCTTCTGCCTGGAGATTTTGTTTCCTATCTTTGTAGGAACATAGTCTGCATTACCGTCCCAAAAAATATCTTAACCTTACATTCAATGGTCTGAAATCTGGATAATTAGATTGCAATTTTGGATTCAAATCTTGGCATTAAATTGGACATCCGTGGCATAGTGTCCATCCAGCATGCGACAATAAATGTAATACAGAAAGCGTTGAATTTCAATAACTTATCTGTCTAAAATATGTGCTGTTATTACCTGTGCACATTATTTCCAGATATATATATTACTACACCCCATATGACATGAAACCTAATATCAGGTACAGTAGAAAAGAACACTTAGCAGATGTTACTGAAATATACAATAAGTTGAGTGGGGAGAAAAAGAAGCGGTTTTACAAAGTTGCATATCTTATTGTGGTATTCGTAATGTCTGTAATAAGGTAATACATTAGAAATGCATTCTTTTGTGAATTATCCTATGCTATTTCAAAGGAAAAATTGGTGATTTTGTTCTCATCTGAATATGTTTTTTAGCTTGGTGTGGACCCTTACCGAGGATGTGCATTAATTGGTGGCTTGTCTTCCATGCTTCATGTAAGTTTCCATTACCATTTTGAGGGTCATATTATTCTGTATAATTGTACAAATGACTTGTTCTTGAAAGTATAAATAGGTCAATTTAGTACCCAGAAAGAACAAAAATTCTAATTTAGTCTCTGAATGTGTAAAAAGTACATCAACTACATCTTACCATTATGTTTGGTGAGATCAATTTGTCATTAACATGTAAAGTTTAGAGACTAATTTGTCAGTAAGTTGTACAGTAGGACTTAATTGTCACATCTTTTACACATTCAAGGACAGATCAGAATTTATGTTCTTTCAAAAATTAAACTAACATTAATTTACACTTTTAGAGACCAAAATGGTTATTTATCTTGGTATAAATATATCAGCTAATTAGACTATTGAAAATATCAAAGAAGTTACAAGCCGATACATTCAATACATTGTGGACAAATTCATCATCTTATGAGTTGAATTCCAAGGACAAGAGCCATGGTGAGAGAAAGTATCAGCAGATCCCCTTAGAGGAGGAGGGACAGGTGACATCCATATTGGTACTTGAGCAAGAAAGAGAGAAGCTTGAGAAGTTGTGATTCTCTAAAGTGAAGTTTTATGTTCTTTCTTAGTGTTCGTGGTTTAGGTATGACAAAAAGCTATCTGACTCGTAGTGGTTTAGGCACAATCATAAATAGCTTTTGCCTACAATGTATATATTTTGTATTGTCAGATTTCCTTCCTCTTCGTGTAACCCTTAGAGTAGGACTGACTTGACATTTTTTGTTGCTTTAAACCTTTTATGCAGTTTCAAAGCCATAATCAATGTTTAAATCATGAAATCTAACTAAGAGTAAATAAATGTTTGATAATTGATCAACTAGTTATACCTCGTAAAAGGTATGGACTCAAAAGTTGAATCCCCATTTATTTAAATATCTATATCACCATTATTACATACATATGTTTGTCCAACCACTAAGGTTACAGTGTGATTTTGATATAATTCTTTGGTAAATTATTGTTTTAATTCTTGAAATTTAGAATCATTTTGATTTCAATTTTTTTTTTTAAATACTCTCTCAAAATTGAAAAGAAAAATTATTATAGTTTTCAAATATTAAATTTGAGATATTAAAATGAGTTTTATAAAACTGTTGTTAGTCTTAAAATTTAGTATTCGGTGATTAAAATTATGTTTTTGAATTTAAGATACTAAAATGTTTCTTTTTAATTTTAGAAACTAAAAATTATTCCAAATTTTAGGAGACTAATACATGATTAAATTATTATTTTTGTTGCATTTAGCTTAATTTTTTATCATTACATTTGATTTCTTCTGTTACTTTTCACATAAAATATTTATTAAAGAAATTAGAAGTTTTTGATGGATTTAATTTAAGACGAAGAAAAATTGGAAGGATAAAATAATTTATCAATTTGTAGAGACTTTGTGAAAAAAAAAAGTTTTCTTGGAATGAAAAAAAAATTTGGAATGGAAAAAAATAGTTGGGGATTTAGTTGTAGCAATAAGAAATGAAGAATAATTTATTTATATAGTAAATGTTAAAATATTTTATTGGACTAGTAATAATTATTATTTATAATAATAAATATTGAAACTTTACTAACATACTTCTACGTTCATCGAAATTCAAGTGCAATTCAAACATGGCAAAGGCTAGAATAGAATCGGATGCGCAAGCTAGCTAAGTTTTTCTTTTCCACCATTGGATTTATTTTATTTTAATAAAAATTACTTAAAAAATAAAAAACACATATTTATTGTTTGTTTTTTAAATTTAATAATTAAAACGAGTTATTATATTAAATTAAAAAAATAGTAATTTAATAACTTCCTTTCTCATAAAAAAAAACTTTATTTTAATAAAGTGTTTATATTAATTATGTATTTATTATTTTTTAACCATAAGATACTTTTAATTATATTTGAGATGAAAGATCAATTCATATCTAAAGGGACTACTAATTATTTATTTTTTTAAAATATTATTTCAGTAGTGGTTTAAAATTGAATAAAGTTAAAACTAAAAGAAAGTTTATATAAACAATTTTATCTCAATTTTAAAAATTTATATGTACGTACAATATATATTTAAATGATATTTTTAATCATAAGTAATTCTTGTAAATAATTTCCTGAGTTATTTATTAGATGTATGAATATAATAGGATTTACTTATTAAGTATTTCAATAAAGTATTAATGGTTTATAAAATCTCTTTTCTTTTAAAAAAAAATCTGACACGGTAAATTGTTAAAAAAATATGTAAGTTAATTCATCAACAACTTAAAAAAAAAGAGAGATTGAAGAAAATAAAGTATTTAAAATTCTTTGATTTTTTTTTATATAAAAATAGAATAAATTATTTATCTATAATATGACATAATAGAATTCCCACTTTGTATTTTCAATATTAGAAATAACTTCTATGATTTGTCACCATCAAAGTTGTCTTTAAAGAATTAGCGTTGTAACATTGATTATGTTTCAACCATCAAAAGTGAAATTAAAATGGGACATTAATGCATTTACTCATTATTAGGGCACAGATTTCTTCCTTGGGAATAGGTGACAATCAAAGTGTTTTGACGTATGTAACATTTATTCTCATGGAAGAGTAGAGTACACTTTACATTTTCTCCTTTCCCTTATAAGCTTAATTCCATAACTACGTTAACTTCAAGGTCTACTCTACAATCATAGGGCTTTTTCCAACCTAAAAAGTTTAAATAATTTAACATCCATTTCAATCCTCATAATATTATTTTAATATCAAAATCTATGTGAATTGAATTTTCTAAGCTCGTTGATATCATGTTAATTCTCAAGATATTGAAAAGATTTTCTTTTCATATCAATTAGTGTTCCCATCGACGTAAATCCAAACTCACATGGAATAAATCTTATCCTTGCCCATTAAAATCAGCATTTATCTGTAAGTTCTAGTTTTCAACCTTTTTAATATTTATCTTAATTTATTTGTTTCTTATCTTGTATTTAGCTTTCACGTAAATAGAAATACAAAGTTCAAGTATTGATTACCCTAAAGACTAATATCTTACTTTTCATTGATAAAGATAAACTTGATGCTCAACAATACAATACAAAAGACAAAAATAAAACAAAGTCAAAGGCTAAATTAATTGATGCGGACCAAAGTCAGTTCGAAATAATGATATTTGAGTTCAAATTTTGAACTCTTAAAACACTAGGAACCAAAATGTCCAACAGATATCATTTTCAAAGACAATTGGTTAATTTTAGCAACTAGTTTAATAATGTGCTGCAACTCAATTATTTTTTATAGGTGGCAGGAACATATTGGTGACTATATAAAGTTCTAGACCAGAGGCAGACAGGAATATTGTCGTCATTATTGAGTCTTTAAGGTTGTATTATCATTGCCTCAGTTTTTCTGTTTATTTCTTTCATCAAAGTTTTTATCTTAATCAATGTCTCATATCTTCCCATAAGATAATCAATCTCAAATCAAGTATGTCAATAGACCAACTATAAGACAATGGTGTCCCTTGAAAAAAATATATAGTAATTAAACTGAAAAAACTGTTTCAAATCTTGTATGATCAAAGTTAAAATACCAACACTTTCACTATCTACATTTGTGCATTCTTTCCAAATCTAGAAATTTCAAATATATCTATCTCTACATTAACCTCATTAAAGCAAGTATAAGATATAGGGAAAATATCAGTGACTAGATTAGACATAAAAGCTCCAACAAATTGAGTTGTAAAATAGGCAAACAAATTTTCATTACATCCGAATTAGCCTACTCATAATACTGCATATTGCAGCATCTACCTAATCAGCCGAGGAATCAGATGCTCTGGTAGGCAAAGAAAATTGTAGAAACCTAACTGCAACTTACACCACTGGTTAACTACTTCATCCTATGGTCATAGACAACAGATAATAGGTTTTGAAACAAAAGGAAACTACGCACAGAGAACAAGTTTGGAAACATCAAACAAATAGCTCAGTCATGAATGTTGTCAGCAACACTAGAGGATCCGCAGATGCAGGTTCATCATCTACTTAACTATCAGGCAAGGATATGTTAATGTCAGTAGCCGACTTCATCGAGTCTGTCATCGGGTGCATGTTAACCCAGTTTTCTCGGCGAAAGGCCAGGGGAGGAGCAAGGTTTGAGTTAAGGGTTGTTCCTGAGTTGTGCAGTATGTGTCCACCGAGGACAACCTCCTTTTCACCATTATTAGGGGGTGGTGCAGATGACACTGCAAGGATAGGGGTAACAGTAGCTGCTGCATATTCAGACTTTGGCTTCTTTGGTTTCTGAGCTTGCTGGTTGCATGGCAAAAAGCTTCCCACCACCACCTGATAACAAAAAGGTATCCAAGTGATCCTTAATTTGAGCATTTTGAGGAACAAAATGTTATATGTCTAACTTGTGTATTGAAGTTTTCAACATCACAGAAAATATGGGATGTTGGAAGAGTTTTTTGAATTCAATCTCAGTCCTTAGCACACAAACCATGCACGTGATCTCATGCATCATTGAGAAAACCATTGAGGGTTGAGTGAGGAATGTTCACCTGCACAGGACCTGCAGCTACAAGTAAACCAGCAACTCCACCACCTACAACACGACCGTCTGGACTTGACAATGAAACACTCATCCCTCCAGACCTGCTTCTTGCTCCTTGGTTTTCAGCAGGCATGAATGATCCAGACAAGGAAAGTATCTCAAAACGGCCCTACAGAAGAGGAAAAACAAAAAAGTAAACACAAGATTTTTAGCACCCTTCATCTTCATGATGAACCTTGTATCGATAATCAAATGAAAAGGTACAATTTCGAAGTGAATGCTGAACATATATAATATTGCAAATTTCCATCAACACATCAGAGACATAATTATACATCAGAGATTTTGTTCTCTTATTCTCCTATTTCAAAAGGCCTTACCAGAGCAGCTATTTTAATTTTAATATCATAAAAGGGTGACAGAGTGCATCTAATACCTACTTATTTCCTGTATTCCAAAAACATGACAAGTGAGATGGAAACAAATTGAAGCTGAAATTACAAAAAATGCTTTCAAAACTTATAAAATAAAACATCTACTAATAATATACTGCAGTACCTCGTAGGTCAAAGTTCCCCCAGACGAATCAGGCTGACGAAGTGTGACATTTGAAATCACACCACTTGCAGATAAGATGCATATAGCACGGGGTCCTTGTTGAGAAAAAGATATAACCTTCATTGCTATGTCCTGAAACAACAACAGTGCAAAACAAATAACATTATTCAATTGTCTATTCTGCAGGAAGCATTACATTACAATATACAATATACAATGCATGTTAAGCGAATACCAAAACACAGGTTTTTCCTGGTCATATGGAGAACAGGAATGGAAAAGACTTGAAACTTTTCTCTTTTACTCATATTTGTTTCGAAATTGAATAAACTATAGCTAAATTTGCATTGACTACACAGGTAAAAATAGAATCACATACAACTATTGTTTGCTCATCAAACCATACTGTAGATCTAGAACCGAAGTGTAGCAACAAATACATGAAACATAAGTCAAAAACCTTGAAGAAGAAAAAGGGTCAATCTAATCATTAAAGGAAACCAAACTTCATGTTTGGCATTGGCAACTTCAGAAAAATGTTTTAATGCAACACCATAATACACCAACCAAACAAATGGAACAGTAGGTAAGTTTATTCATGTGTAACTAACTTTCGGTTTGTCAGTTACTTGTTAGTTACACATATATAACTAACTCACAGTTAACCAGTAACTAGTTAGTTACTGATATCTAACTACCTGATAGATAGTCAGTTACTTAGATCTGGAGATATAAGCACATGATGCAATTCACTTATAGTTGGTTGAATTCATTTTACACAATGAGAACTTATTTCCCACTATATCTTTCTATACCAAACATAAATATGGTATCAGAGATGAAAACTGAACCAGTAACCAAGGTTTCTCCATCGGGATCTATGTCCATATAATACATAAACAAACGATAAAAAAAAAAGTGTAAACTGTTATCCTCCATTCCATATAAAACAAATAGGTCAAGGAAACAAAACATAATTTCTCAAACCATATTATCCTTGTTTGTAAGGTTTATCCTCCAACAGATAACAGAACATAGAAAAAACACATAACCCATATGGTAGATGAGTAAATGACTGAAATGCAGGATAGTTTAAGAGAGAAATTTAAAGCAAACTCATGTATATCAAATGAAGATAAAATAAATGGTTTTTCCTTCCCTCATAGCATACCTCGCCACTATTGACAGTAATGATATGAGGCATAAAGCTTGTACCATCAGAGCCACCTACAGAAGTAGCAACAATAGATGTTAACAGAGATTAGTTGAGAGTTAAAGTAATTAACCAATTAAAATTTTCAAAACATAGTGATCAAATAATATATCTTATTTCTACAAATATTCTAAAACCTTAAAGAGTCCAGGCAAATGCAGCTCAAGTGGTTATTGTGATCAAAATTGTGGTTGCAGACAGCAATTCAACACTCCCTTGCTAATATAGAGTGCACCTTTCTATGCATGGAAACATAAATTGCTTCATCTCTCTCAAAAAAAAAAAGGTCCATAACACAAAAAGTATAACTTCTTTTAAGTATTTGCAAATAAAAAGGAGACATTTTTCATGTATTCAAGCATAGTAACTAATGTGCAGTAAACAGCATGGTAACTAATGTTTTGTGCAAAAGTTTGACAAGAAGCAAACTTGAAGAAGCAAGAAAAGTAATTTCCCAGTCAAACATGGAAAGATACTAACAAATTCACCCAAACGTATGAATTTATTGATAAACAATGTGAGTGAAACATAAAATTTCTGTTTATTAGCAATGCATATCAGAGTATTACGAGCATCAAATCCCATTACCAAGAGGATCCATTCCAAATTTCTTCGCCAGCTTGTACTCCATCCCCCGTGCTCTGCCCCGCTTCCCAGATGAAAACTCATTTGAAAATGGGGCTGAAGATGAGATGGGCATGGGTGACAATGCCATACTCACCAACCCATCTGGCCCATATTTTCTTGGTCTACCCCTTTTCTTCTTAATTGATGCTCCATCCAACCCCACACTCACCGGTGACACACCAACAGCTCCAAGTGGTGCTTCAGAAACAGGAGGACCACCCTGGCTTGGAGCTTCATTCCTTGGTGCCATATGATAGACTGATGGAGCTTCTGCCCCGATCACTGTAACCCCAGAACTCATCCCTTCTCTTCCTTCCATGCATAAACTATCCTCTTTCCTTACTCCACAGAATCAAACAAATATCTGCATGCCAGAAATCAATCATGCTTAGAGAGCAAAATGGCCCATTAGAGAACATGCCATTGCAAAAAATTTCAGTATTTTAGCAAAACCAAAAATTTGAACCTTCTTGAACATGCAAGGAAGCCAAAGTGAAAACCCATCAAAGGATCCCCACAACACTAGGAAAAAAGAAAACAAAGACAGAAACTTTGGATTCCTTAGAAGTTGTTCAGTCAAATTAGCAGATCCATTTAGAGCTTTAGCTTTGCATTAAAACGCAAAAATCACAGCACTCTAGGGTTTGACTAGAACATCATAAGAAAAAAAATGCAGTTGTTTTCTAAACAAAGTTTTTTTTTTTTCCTGTTCTGTTCCCATGTCGGAAAAATGGGTACTTGCTCGGACATCAAGTGTTCAACTTTCAAGTACTGAAATCAGAAATTCGATTTGTAATAAAAAGGACGATAAAATAGCCATTAAAAGAAATGAAAATAAAAACAGTGAAATATGTTGCTACGTTATTACAATTTTTAAACAAACATGGGTAAGAACATCTTGAAAAACATGTTTGAAAATAACAAACTCAAACTAAACATCATGAAATGCTTGGTTAAAAAAACAATCATTTACTTCAAATATTTGTTAGCTCCGAACTCTAAACAAAACAAAACAAACTAAAAGACTTTTATAAAACATTAAAAAATAAAGAAAAGACACCCTTTTGCATAAACCTGCTTCATACCCAGCATTTACCTAAACTTTTAAAAGACAGAAAGCTGAAACTCATGACAAATTTTAGCTAACAAAAGGGAAATTAAAAAAAAAAAAACAAATGTTTTTTACATACAAACATAAAACTGAGCACTGTTCAGAATGCAAAGATCATGCCCCCTGTCACAAAGATTCCTCACACTTCAACCAAACTCTTCTGAGGCTGAAATATTGTATTCAGATTTTCTCAGCTCTCTCCAGAACTTAACTTGCTCACTCAACCCAGAAAGTGAAAATTAAAAGAAAAAAGAAAGATAAACACAGAAAAAGAAAAAAGAGCAGAGAAAAAGTGAAAAACCGTTTGCTCCGAAAAATTAAAACAACTGGGAAATTTTCAAGAGTTGAAAAATACCTGTTGGCTGGTTGGGTTTTCCAAAGCTGCTTGAATTGAAAGTTGAAAATTTTTAATGAGAAAATATGGTAAAGCTCAAAATAAATACTGCCAAAGCAATATTAGAATATTAATAATAATAATAATTATTATTATTATTATTGAATGTCGAATGTTGAATATTTTAAAGTTAAAAACTTTAAAATATATCAGCTATAACATATAATAAAATATTTAATTATTCTAAAGATTTTTATTGTAACCTTCAATAATATGCATATTTATTAATCTTAAACCGTATTTAAGCTTCCTGATCGCTAGTTATCATAAATCAAATAAAGTAGGTGAACATGTAAGACCTTACTTTGAAGAAATGCTATATCCCATAAAAACATATAAATCTAATTATTTAATTAAAAATTATCATATATATTAAAAATGTATAAAATCATTTCCATTTATTTAATACTGTAAAAAATCCATTATACCAAAATTAAACTGAAAGTACAATTCAATTGAGAAGAAATTCACCCCTGTAAAAATCTTTCCAATACTTTTACTAGTGACTAATATGATAAATACATTTAAAGAGAATAAGTAATCTCGTATAAAAAAATCATATATTATATTATTTAATTTAATCATCTCAAATAATTTTTTTTAATTATTAAATTATAAAAGTAAAAAGAAGTTCACAAACTCTTATTTATATAATATGTGAATTTATATATATATATATATATATATATATATAAAGTAAATAATGTATGAGTATTTAGTGTTTTTATTAAATTTTAATTATAATTTTTTAAAATCCAAGTTTAGTCAATTTTCTAATTTTGGATATGATTGTTTGTATTTTATTATATACTTTAATAGAATATTTTAGGCTTACATTTAACCAAAATGACTAGAATGCTTATAAAATTGATTATTAGAATAAACATTTATATTTTTAAAATATATAGGTCAAAATTAAAGAAAGATGGAAATTTAATATTTTGATTAAATTCAGTTGCGTGATTGATGGTACATGAGCATTGAATTTAAAACACTAATTATATTTTAGTTTTATTTTTAGTTTTAAAACTTTAGAAATCAGTTTTCTGCAACTAATTAATATAAAAGGTTATTATTTTAAACTTTTAAAATAAAATTAAACAAAACCGTTGTTAATTCAACAGTTTACATCTTACATTTTTGTAACGTGTGGCATCTTGAAATATGAACTGAAAATAATTAGATACATCTTATTGTGAAAGAGTAACAAAGATTCACAACAATATCATTTTTATTTTGTTTTATTTTACTATAACTTTTAGAATGTGTAATTATTTTTTCTGAAATAACATGATATAGGGTGAGGTTAGGTAATGGTGGTTATTTATGATGTAAAGAAAAGATGCATGATCTAATAAAGAAAAAGAAAAGAGAAAAAATATTTATTGCATGTTGGTTGAAATGTGAAAGGATAGAGTAGCACGTGACAGTGTACATTTGTCATTGTAGCAGTTGCATCCCTTCTTCCTTGGGAAACACCCCTAAACTTCCCTTACCCGTGAAACTAAACAAAATTCACTTTTTTTAAAATAATAATAATAATTAAATATTTGTTCCTTTCAAATGTAGAATCAATAGTCACATGTATAGAAAAATTATAGTTTTCCTTTTTTTTATATTATTCCTTCTCAAATAAACAAATAAATAAATATTCTTTTCATATTATTTAATTTTATTTTATTTATATTCTTTTGTATAATTAAACATGAATAAATGAAGAAAGAAAACGTTCATCTCCTCCACAAAAGTCATGTGACTTCGTCCACAAATTTAATTTGCCATTTCATATTATTAAGAGATTAGTTTTTTAATATTGTACAACATAATTAGTATATAATTAAATTTTTTAAATCTAAAAAATATATATTTAATAAGGGAAAAGTGTGAGAAGAAGAAAAAAAAACTATTGATTTTGAAAGATATAAATTTTCTCCCTTTTCTAAAAATTAAGTTACTTGAATTAAAAAAATACTTATAAATGTATATTTACTTTAACTTTTTTTTACAAATATAGGTCAAATAAATACTTATAAATTTGATATAAATATCAAGAGTATATAATAATAATAATAATAATAATAATAATAATAATAATAAATTGAGCTAGTAATATTGGATATGTAAGAAAAATATATAAACATAACTTTTAATTGAAACTATTACTTAAATATTTAGTTTTATATGTAAAAGAAATGGTTAATGATTATTTAGTTATCAGTGTAATACTACTTAATATTTTATTTCTAAAATAGTACTTTCACCTTCTTATTTAAAAATAAATAAATGTTTTCTAAATATTATGATAAAATATTTTAAATTCAATAAAATGAGAAAATAATCTAGAGTTCATGGTTGAACTTAAATCATAAAGTTATTAATCATTTAACTTATAGTTAGACGAATAATTTATAAAAAAAATATTTATTTAAAAAATTTATGATAAAATATGTTATTTAATAAAAAAATAAAAACAAATTGAATACACGATAGTAATAAAACTAGATAATTTTAAAATTTATCTTAAAATAAAATAAATCATTGTGTTTAAATTTATGTTTATTTTTTTCTTTATAATTTTTTTATATGAATATTAATCAAGATAAATTTTACTGGACTTTAAATTTGAAATATTATTGAATTAGTAAATATTAGAATGTCTTCGATTTCAATCAAACCCAACACGAGTTTATTCTAATCAAACAAATTTGAACCTACCTATCTTGACTCTAATAAATCCAATCAAGAAAACTAAGTTTGATTAAATCCCAACCCACCTCACATTGTTTGATTATTGTTCAATTTGATTAATTTTAACCTAATTTGATTCAAATATTATATGTGTGGTAATAAAAGTATTTTATTAAAAAATAAAATTCAAATAATTTTAATTTATTTTATCTAAATAAAATATTTTTAAAAATGAAACAATTAAAGCAAGGAATAATTTAAATTTAGTGTATTTTGAATTTTTTTTATAAATTATGTAAGTTTTCAACTAAATACAAGTTAAAATTCTGATTTCTAGAAACATTTTTAAGAATGATGAAAAGATTGAGCAAGTATAATATCTTAAGATATAAATTAAAGAATTTGAAAGCTCTTATCTATATAATGGAGTGTGGAATCTTTGTGCTTGAAAATTCATTTCAAACCCTAATGATTTAAGATAAGATCCTACCAATAAAGAAATGAAGCCTTTGCTTTAGCTTAGAGTAGAAAAAATGGGTTGAAATTGAAGAAAGTGTGGTGTGCAGTGAGTGCAGTTAGGTAGATTGTTGAAAGGTCCAATAAATAAAGTCCAAGGTTGAGTGTCCTAGTGACACGTGTCAGACACCCATGAGAGGGATTGAGGCAGAAGGTGAAGCAGTTACCCTTGTCTTAGGTTTGTTTGGCATTTTCTTAATAGTGACCTACCCCATCTCTCTTCCCTCAGGTTGTGTTGTTTCTTCTGCACATGCTCTGCTTCGTCAAAACCCTACATCATTATGTCGGACCCACCCTCACACAATTTCAATTTCACACGTAAATCAATTACTCTTTTCCTTCTTCTTTTTTTATCAAATGTCTGGTGCTACAATTCTCATCTTCTCACTTTTCATTACGTGCAAAACTTATATATAATTTAATAAATTAAAAAAAAAAAGAGAAAACAAAAATTAACATTAAGACCTCACAAGAATTTAACTCACCAAAATATTGTTAACAAAACTATTAATTATATCAATTTGGCCAATGGTTATTGATTGAATAACCTGTTTTGTCCATTTTTAATATGTATTTCATAAGGAAGAAGGTTATTAATTAAAAATTGACG